TGTCTCTCAGCACCCTTAACACACTATAGCTCCCAGTATATTTTTGGGGGGGACTCCATGGCTGTTTAAAATGGCATCACAGCACCCTAAGAAGGATGAAAAGGCGCCATTTCGGCTGGATCCTTTACCTTTAGGGACGCGGGTGGCACTGTCAATTAAACCACAGAGCTTAGGACTTGCCGATCAGAAGGTCGGCGGTTCGAATCCCTGTGACAGGGTGAGCTCCCGTTGCTCGGTCCCTGCTCCTGCCAACCTAGCAGTTCGAAAGCACACCAGTGCAAGTAGATAAATAGATACTGCTCTGGCGGGAAGGTAAATGGCGTTTCCGTGTGCTGATCTGGTTCGCCAGAAGTGGCTTAGTCATGCTGGCCACATGACCCGGAAGCTGTACGCCGGCTCCCTCGGCCAGTAAAGCGAGATGAGCGCCGCAACCCCAGAGTCGGCCACGACTGGACCTAACGGTCAGGGGTCCCTTTACCTTTAGGAAGGCTCTTTTTAGGGCGTGTGATGATCGGGAAAACCACGCATGCCATGCTTTCCCTCCTGCCTCTTCCCCTGAGTCTTTTGCAATCTCCTCCCCAAACAAACCCCATTCCATCCTCCTGGGTCACATCCTTGAGCTATTTATAAGCTCCTTCTCTCTCTCTCTCTCCCTGCCTCGAGACTTCCAGCTGTCGCTCTGCCAAGGCGGCAGCGATTGCATCTCTCCCTGAGCATCTCTTTGCTTCATCTTTCCGTCGCCATGTGAGGAAGTCGCTTTCGAGATCCTCGGGGGCTATCTGTTTCCCCAAACACCAAATCTCTGAGACGTCGTCGTTGCCGCCGGTTGAGTCACCCGGTTGACGCCAAGTGCTGAGGTCAGCTGACCCCCCTCGCCGGGTCACGTGACCTCCACACCCCACCAGTTGGCCGCACAGTTTATTTTAAGCCATGCGCTCAGGCCTCTGGTGGTGCACAGGGCCTTCTCTGAGAAACCTCTGAGTCATACTACCCCTGCCCAGAGTTGGCGTTGCTGTATAAGGGAAGCTCTGGCCCGCTATTAATATGACCGAGGCCAACGCCTAGGCGGTCCAGAGGCCATAGCAGGTGGGCTCGAAAATGCCACATTATTTCCCCGCTTCTTGCTCATCTGAAAGACCATCTGCCAGAGGGTAGCTAAGGCACGGAAATAAACGTGAGCGCATCTGCCTGCGTTATGTGGGGTTGATGAGCCTCTGCCAACCTGGTGCCCTCCATATTTTATTTTATTTTTGGATGACAATCCCCACAGAACCAGACTTTCCTAAAGGAATGGAAGAAATTTTCGACTGGAAAACAGTTGTTTGACATCGCTCGTAGGGTTAAAATAAGTTTTGTAAGGAGTAATTTATAAATTATTGCGAGAAGAATTAAGAATAGATGTATCGGAAATGAGAGTTTATAGCCGTAACTATAGCAACAAAACGCATAATTAGAAAGGCTTTAGAAAACCGTCAGCCGAGGTTGAAGGAAGTCTGAGGCGGTGATAGCCCCAAAATTTGAAATGATGCTTAAAAGGATGTTATGTTGGAAAATGTGTGTAAAAACTAATAAAAATTATTTATTAGACAGTGCCCATCCGACCTCAGCCAGGGCGCTAGGTTTATTTTATTTTTGTTTATTGTGTTTATATCTCACCTTTTTCTCCAAGGAGCTCAAGGTGGTGGTGGGGGGAGTGTTTCCCCCCCCTCCTCATTTTCTCCCCACAACAACCCTGTGACATAGGTTAGGCAAAGAGATGCAAGGTTCAAAGTCTCCCCCAGTGAGCTTCACGACCAAGTGAAGGGATTCGAACCCAGGTCTCCCAGGTCGTAGTGTGACACTCCAGCAACTACACCCCATGGGCTCTCTTTTCCCCCAATTATTTTTTTATTTGCATTTTCAAATAACTGTTGATCTAAATTCTCTGGCTTTTCAGCAGCTGTGCCACACAGAGCCGGCCCTATCGTTAGGCAAAGTGAGGCAGGGGGAGAGGCAGAAGGAAGGAGAGGGCAAAGTGCGGATGTGAGCCATTATTATTATTATTATTATTATTATTTGGTACAAATTAGAAAACATACATATTTACAACAATAGAAAACACAAAAGGAAAAAAAAACACATATAACCAAGGGGGAAAAATTAGAGAATACTTTGTCTCTTTTCATATTTACAGTTATTTATACCTCTATGAAATGCTATTCACAATAAAGGAGTGAAATGAAAGGTACGATATCAGAAAAAAGAACAAAGAAAAAAATTAAGAAGTAAAAGAAAAAGATCATAGGTGAAAATTTTTTTAAGCAGATAAGTATTCACTATACATAGCTGTTTCCCATCCATATTTATATTCAATTGTATAATTTCATCTTGTCCTTATCTACCTTAAATAAAGTGTTGTTTTTCTAAAAAGACTTCCACCGTTTGCCTCACACGTTTTTAATAATCTGTTCGTCAGATCCTCTGTTCTTCATATTTTTCCTTTGGCTTTCCTTAATGTCTCACTTTGTATTTTTTATATTACGCACAAGATTATTCTAAACACAACCATTATTATTATTAATTAGATTTATATGCTGCCCTTGATCAAAAGATCTCAGGGTGGTTCACAAGATAAAAACATAATATAAAAGCACACATAAATATTTAAAACAGAAACGATGAAACAATAACCTCCCCCCCCCCAAAAAAAACAACCCAGATTTTAAAGGCTGTAGAATATTAATCGGCCAAAGGTCTTGCTGAAGAGGAATGTTTTGCCTGGCGCCTAAAGAAATGTAATGAAGATTTGAAATTTTGAAATGTAGAATTGAAATGTACAGACTGTTCTCTTTTGAAAGAATACTCTATGAAAATGATGGTATATTACCCCAGTACAGATAGCGAAAATGTATAAAACCGGGTCAAACAAATGTTGGAAATGTAAAGAAAAAGAAGGGACTTTTTATCATATGTGGTGGGAATGCAGAGAAGTTTAAAAAAAAGGGAAATGATATACAATGAATTGAAAAAAATGTTTAAAATGACATTTGTAAAAAAGACAGAAGCAGTTTTGTTAGGGATTGTAGGACAAGACCTGCCAAGAAAAACAAAGAATCTATTTATGTATGCTACAACAGCGTCAAGAGTCTTGATAGCAGAAGGATGGAAGAATGAGGAAATCCCAACGAAAGAACAGAGGCAAGAAAAATTGATGAGCCACGCAGAGCTGGCTAAATTGACATACAAACTCTGTGATAAGGACAACTGTGACTTAAAGGAAGAATGGGAACTTATCTAAAAAACAAAACAAAATGAACTGGATTCCTTGGCAGGTCTTGAATAAACATCCACAAATTTATTGGTCGATTATATGATAGATAAGGCAAGGATATGTATAATTTTATAACATGCAGAGAATAATATGTGCAGAGAAATCAGAGAGAGGAGCTGAGGGAAGTCCCTTTTTGGGGGGGGAAGGGAGGTATGGAAGGGGGGAAAGGGAAAAAAATAATGTGTGTGATTATATGGTCTGATAATTTGTAATAATAATAATAATAATAATAATAATAATAATAATAATAAATTATTTGTGCCCCGCCCATCTGGCTGGGCTTCCCCAGCCACTCTGGGCGGCTTCCATAGAAACCAAAAATACACTAAAATATCACACATTAAAAACTTCCCTGAAGAGGGCTGCCTTAAGATGTCTTCTGAATGTCAGGTAGTTGTTTATTGTTATGTTGAAATTGCTTAATAAAAATATATTTTTTTAAAAAAATAAATGTAATAAAGGCACCAGGCGAGACTCCCTGCGGAGAGCATTCCACAGACAGGGAGCCACCGCAGAAAAGGCCCTGTTCTTGTTTTGCCACCCTCTGGACCTCACACAGAGGAGGCACACAGAGACGGGCCTCGGATCATGGAATTGTAGACTTGGCAGGTATCCCAAGGTCATCTAGTCTAACCCCCTGCAACGCAGGTGTCTTGGCTAAAGCAGGGTGGCCATCCAGCCTGTGGTAAAGTTATAACTGTTAGAAAAATCATTCCTTGGTCAAGTAAAAGAATGTGGCCTTGTGGGTACTTTGTCAGCCGCAAGGACCCTGGGAAAGGGAGTTGTGTATCTTTAAACTCCAGACTCTCTGTCTCCTTGCTCTGAGAGGTTTATGGAAGGAAGGGAGTCCTTGATTTAGTGAAAAGCTGGCACCTGGGTTTGGAGGGTGTGAACCTTTTCCTTCCCGGAGGTTGTTTGTTTGCAAATTGCTGAGAATTGGGGATCTGGTTAATTTCCACAGGTGGGAGGAAGATTCTTTGATTAAGGGTTCAAACCTAAATTGACCCAGCTGCAAAAGAATGAGCTGATCAAATTAAGACTCTTGATTGGCTAAAAGTTACCACGCAAAGTCAGAATTGGGGATAAAAGATCAAGGGATGTTTTGTTCATTGCTCTCTGCCATTGCTCTGCAAACTCGCAAAGATGCCCGGCTGTATCTTCCATCGATAGCCGTCGTTATGTCCTTTTGAAATGGAAATCTTCAAACAGCTCCATTACGCAACAGCTTGAAAGGACTCTCACTATTCTAACTGTGTTCCTTTGTGGGTATGTAACAGCTAGTTATAATGTACAGCGTTATTATTTTCATGTTTGTAAGACTTCTAAGATGTGCCTGTGGTTTTTCCACATGTTTTCAGTTATTCTTTTAAAATAAACTTTTAATTTGGAACCTGTTGATATTTGTGCCTTTTCCGAGGGAATAGCTAAATCCAAGCCTTCTGCTTAGTCACGCTATACCAAGTGAACTTCTGCCTGCAAGCCTGTGGATACAGCTTGTAAGGAAAGGGGGATTGCCAGGTTAATTGGACACACTCTTCTCCCTGGGTGGTGTCTTTGGGTTCCCCTGAACAAAAGGGAGTGGTGGCAGCCTCTCCTTTAAAACCCTCCAGCTGCCCTGCTTCTCTTCCGGGCGTCTCTTCTTTCCCCTCCCTGCCTCCCCGAAAAATAATTTGCTTTTCTTTGCCACCAGCGGAGCCAGTCACCTCCAGGCTGAAAGCGCTGCGGCTGCAACGGGACGATTTCGAGATCCTCAAAGTGATTGGACGGGGAGCCTTCAGCGAGGTGAGAAGGGCTGGGGTTTTTTGGGGGCGGGCTCTCTCTGCTACCAGGTGCCCTCGGTACCAGATGGCCAGCGGGGCAAACTTTTCAATAGTCCAGGCGAAAACAACGCTGAAATATCAGGCCCTTCCTGGTGACCCTAGGGCAGCCTCGGCCAATCTGGTGCCCTGCAGATATAATAATAATAATAATAATAATAATAATAATAATAATAATAATAATAATTTATTTATTATACCCCACCTATCTGGCTGAGTTTCCCCAGCCACTCTGGGCAGCTCCCAATCAAGTGTTAAAAACAGTGCGGCATTAAATATTAAAAACTTCCCTGAACCTTCAGGGTTCTTTTAAAGATAGGATAGCTGCTTATTTCCTTCACATCCGAAGGGAGGGTGTTCCACAGGGTGGGCGCCACCACCAAGAAGGCCCTCTGTCTGGTTCCCTGTAACCTCACTTCTCGCAATGAGGGAACCGCCAGAAGGCCCTTGGCGCTGGATCTCAGTGTCCTGGGCTGAACGATGGGGGTGGAGACGTTCCTTCAGGTATACTGGACCGAGGCCGTTTAGGGCTTTAAAGGTCAGCACCAACACTTTGAATTGTGCTTGGAAACGTACTGGGAGCCAATGCAGATCTCTCAGGACCAGTGGTCTCGGCGGCCGCTCCCAGTCTCCAGTCTAGCTGCCGCATTCTGGATTGATTGCAGTTTCCGGGTCACCTTCAAAGGTAGCCCCACGTAGAGCGCATTGCAGTAGTCCAAGCGGGAGATAACTAGAGCATGCACCACTCTGGCGAGACAGTTTGCGGGCAGGGAGGGTCTTAGCCTGAGTACTATAACTCCCATCAGCCAGCCTGGCTAAGGCTGGCTTGGGGCAAAGTTCTGGCAGAGATGGCTCCTCACAGCGCTACAATTCCCAGAGCGGTTTAACAATCCGTCCCTCTTCATGGGTCGCCCTGGGAACTATAGCTCTGCAAAGGGAATAGAGGCCCCTTGACAGCGCTCTGCACCCTCAGCAAACTAAAGCTCCCATAATTCTTTGGGGGAAGCCATGACTGTTTTTGAGTGGCTTCCCCAGATGGGCTGCGTATAAATAAAATAATATTACAGTGGTACCTCAGGTTACATACGCTTCAGGTTGCATACGCTTCAGGTTACAGACTCCGCTAACCCAGAAATAGTGCTTCAGGTTAAGAACTTTGCTTCAGGGTAAGAACATAAATCGTGCTGCGGCAGCGCAGCAGCAGGAGGCCCCATTAGCTAAAGTGATGCTTCAGGTTAAGAACAGTTTCAGGTTAAGAACGGACCTCCGGAACGAATTAAGTACTTAACCCGAGGTACCACTGTAATAATGATGATGATGATGATGACGACGCATGGTGAAACTGTGGCCCAAGTATGTCAGTCCAGCCCCTTCTTTAACACACAGACTCCCACCTCCTATTTTACCTGCACAGGTAGCAGTCGTGAAGCTGAAGAGGACATCCCAGGTCTACGCCATGAAGATAATGAATAAATGGGACATGTTGAAGCGGGTTGAGGTGGGTATGGCAAGCTGCACCCTTCAGGCCCTGTGGGTGGTTTGGCCTTTTATAGGTCAACACCAGCTCTTTGGATGGTACCCAAAAAGAGTGGGATTCTCAGGTGACTTGTCATGGACTGGTTGGACACAAAGGAATGGTGAGACGAACCAGTTGGGGAACCCCCAAGGGAAGAAGGCTCAGAGCCAGGGGATTGGTGGTGGGATGACAATGAGCAGTCAGAGAGAGAAGAGGGAGCAGACTGGGAGGAGAAGGTGTTGGAAGCTGAAGAGAGGACAGGGTTTAGTGAGCAGGGAGAGTCTGGGGCAGAGAGCAGTCCAGAATCGGAGGCAGAAGCAGAGGCCAAGAGGCAGAGATGAGTCTGGCTGGGGAAGAGTCATGGGTGTCTCCCTCTCTTGCTGTAACAAGCTCCCCCCCTTTACTCACAGAACCAGAAGAGAGATGAAAAGGGTGGAGGGGAGGTTGGCTGCATGCAGACACAGTCTCCCATTGCTTGGGAAAACCCTGGAGAGGAGGCGATTTACGTAGCGGCCAAAATTGTGGAAACCTTTTAGGAAAAGTGTATTTCCAAGGTTTGATGGCTCATAACACCCGATTGGCTCTCTAAACACTCATTCTCATTGGCTACATTCAAATGAAGGAAAGCTACTGCATATCAACCTAAGCAAGTTGTTCTTCCTTTTTCTGGTTATTTGGCTATGTTGTTGTTTAGTCGTTCAGTCGTGTCCGACTCTTCGTGACCCCTTGGACCAGAGCACGCCAGGCACTCCTGTCTTCTACTGCCTCCCGCAGTTTGGTCAAACTCATGCTGGTAGCTTCGAGAACACTGCCCAACCATCTCATCCTCTGTCATCCCCTTCTCCTTGTGCCCTCCATCTTTCCCAACATCAGGGTCTTTTCCAGGGAGTCTTCTCTTCTCATGAGGTGGCCAAAGTCTTGGAGCCTCAGCTTCAGGATCTGGCCTTCCAGTGAGCACTCAGGGCTGATTTCCTTCAGAATGGATAGGTTTGATCTTCTTGCAGTCCATGGGACTCTCAAGAGTCTCCTCCAGCACCATAATTCAAAATCATCAATTCTTCGGTGATCAGCCTTCTTTATGGTCCAGCTCTCACTTCCATACATCATGTATTTGGCTATAACTTTTGATAGAATACAGATAATTGAACAAACTTTGTTGCATTACATTCTTCATTAAATTATCCTTCCATTGATATATAATGTTATGGTATTACTCCAATAAAAAAATGGTGTTATGAGCCATTTTGGGACACTTTCCCCAAAAGGTTTACACAATTTCGGCAGCTGTGGGGAGGCAGGACTTTCAGTCTCAGACACTGATCCATAGGGCAAGACCTACCGTGAATGAGCCGCTATGCCCTTTAGGCCTGACCCTCCGACCAAGTCAGTGCAGATCATGTTCTTGCCAATAAGGAGTTAACTTCGACTTGCACAGTGTGATTTACTGCTGGTTCCCTCCTGGCCTGGCCCACAGAAGTGCAGCACTTTCAAAGCAGGGATTATTTCAGTTCACATTGGGGTGTTGTTTTAGAAACCACAGAGCCCAGGGCTTGCCGATCAGAAGGTCGGCGGTTCGAATCCCCGCAACAGGGGTGAGCTCCCGTTGCTCGGTCCCTGCTCCTGCCAACCTAGCAGTTTGAAAGCACGTCAAAGTGCAATTAGATAAATAGGTACCGCTCTGGGAGGAGAATTGGGGCCTCCTACCAACTCTCAGCACCCTCCACGAACTACAACTCCCAGAATTCTTTGGGAGGAAAGCTCAGGTGGCGCTGTGGTCTAAACAACTGAGCCCAGGGCTTGCCGATCGGAAGGTTGGCGGTTCAAATACCCGTGACGGGGTGAGCTCCTGTTGCTTGGTCCCTGCTCCTGCCAACCTAGTAGTTCAAAAGCACACCAGTGCAAGTAGATAAAGAGGTACCGCTCTGGTGGGAAAGTAAATGGCGTTTCCGTGCACTGCTCTGGTTCGCCAGAAGTGGCTTAGTCATGCTGGCCACATGACCCGGAAGCTGTACGCCAGCTCCCTCGGCCAATAAAGTGAGATGAGCGCCGCAACCCCAGAGTCGGCCATGACTGGACCTAATGGTCAGGGGTCCCTTTACCTTTACCTATGCTTAGCTACCCAAAGAAGATCTGAAATTAGATGGTATAACAAATAATTGTGAACTGAATTGAGAAAATAAATCGATTTTGATGCTGCGCCCATCAGGTTTCCTGCTTCCGAGAGGAGCGGGACGTGTTGGTCAACGGAGACAAGCGCTGGATTACGCAGCTGCACTTTGCTTTCCAAGACGAGAATTACCTGGTGAGTGATCATCATCGTTTATCTGTAGGCCGCCTTTCCATGGATAAAGCCACACTCAGGGCTCCTTACAACACGAAAAGACTTACAAAAATACATCATAAGCAGTACGTAAAAATGATTTGAAACATGCACAAACAAAAGTAAGTGCCGTATTTTTCGCTCTATAAGACGCACCCGACCATAAGGTGCACCTAGTTTTAGAGGAGGAGAACAAGAAAAAATATATTCTCTCCCTCTTTGCTCAGCGCCTCTCCAGCGAAACAGGAGGAGAAATGGAAGGGACTCTGTTTCTCCTCCCGCTTCACTGAAGGGACGCTGCGCAGAGAGGGAAAGCTGTGCAGCGCCTCTCCAGCGAAGCGACGCCAGGAGAGAGCAAGAGGGATCGGTGCGCACTGACCCCTCTCGCTCTCCAGGCTTCAGCAAAAGCAACGCGAAGCCTCCTGGACCTAATGGTCAGGGGTCCCTCTACCTTTACATTGATTATTGCCTTCATTTTATGGATCAATGGTCTCGTTAGACAGTAAAATCTGTGTTAAATTGCTGTTTTAGGGGGTGTTTTTCACCGTCTGGAACGGATCAGTCCATTTTCCATTACTTTCAATGGGAAAGTCCGCTTCAGGTTAAGAACGCTTCAGGTTAAGAACGGAATTCCGGAACCAATTAAGTACATAACCTGAGGAACCACTGTATTGGCGAAACAAATAACCCAAAGCAATACCCCACCCCAATAACCTGTAGGCATCCTGAGCCCCAAACTGGCAAACGATTCTTCCATTGCAGGGAGTTGGTCTAGATCAGGGGTCTGCAACCCGCGGCTCCGGAGCCGCATGTGGCTCTTTTACACCTTTGCCGCGGCTCCGGGGCGGATACTAGCGAGGGGAGGAGGCGCATTGTGCGCCCTGACACTCCCCACTGTGGCGGGCGCTGTACTGGCTGTGACGTCGCATGGGGGCGGTGCGTGCGTTAGTCACGCACCGTCCCGACGTTACCTTCCCGGTTTTGCGGCTCCCAGTTTTTTCCCCTTCGGAAACGGGTCCAAGTGGCTCTTTTTGTCTTAAAGGTTGCAGAGCCCTGGTCTAGATGATCCCTTTTGTCCCCTCCAAGTCTACGTTTCTGTGACACAACCAAAACAGTCCCTTGTGCAGCCTCAGCTTTTGTAGCTGGAGTCAGTCCGCTGGTCTGTCAGTCAGCCAGTGAGGGCTCCGCCCTCCCCAGTCAGGTGGGAAGAGGCTAGCAAATCAGGGAGCAGGTCTTGCACGACTCCCAGCCAATATGGGGCTGCTGAGTATGACATAAGAACCGAAGAAGACGCAGTGGAGATCCATTTGGCCCAGTGCTCTGTCTCTGACAGTGGGCAGCCGGGACTCCGGCGGAAGATCACTGGCAGGACACGGGAGCCCGGGCTCAGTTCCAGAATCCAGTTTCTCAACGAGAAAGTCAGGACAGAAGCAACAAAAGGAAAGGGAGATCTGGACATGGGTGCCTTTCCTTCCTCGCTGGATTATGTCCAGCCCACACAGGTCTGGAATTAGGAGCCTCCACTTCAAAAGGCAAGCCGTTCTCCGGTTTCGAAACAAAGCGCTGACGTTTGCCATCCCTTCTAGTTTGCCAGCTGACCACCGGTATTCTGCCCCCAAATGACCACCACCGACAAATTTGTTCTCTCTGGAGTTTAGCCTTTTAGGGTGTTGGTGGGCATGCAAGTTAGCAGGGAGTCGTCGCTTTGTGGTTTGGGGATGACCTGGATTTTGGAGTGAGTCAAGACATTTTGTTTTTTAATTCGGAGGGGAAAGGGAGGAGTGGTGATAGACGGCCCCTGTGGCGGCTACATCGCTTTCGCCGAGAGCTGTGAGGCAAAGAAGCTTTTTGCAGACCGAAGGCTTATCAAATGCCTCATCTTATCCTCACGATGACAAACCTGATACCCCATATAGGAAACCCACAAGGAATAATAATAATAATAATAATAATAATAATAATAATAATAATTTATTATTTATACCCGCCCACCTGGCTGGGCTTCCCCAGCCACTCTGGGCGGCTTTCAACAAAATATTAAAATGCAGTAATGCATCAAACATTAAAAGCTTCCCTGAACAGGGCTGCCTTCAGATGTCTTCTAAAAGTAAGATAGTTGTTTATTTCCTTGACATCTGGTGGGAGGGCGTTCCACAGGGCGGGTGCCACTACCGAGAAGGCCCTCTGCCTGCTTCCCTGTAACTTGGCTTCTCGCAGTGAGGGAACCGCCAGAAGGAAGACCTGAGCACAACAGCCCTCTCCTCGGAAAATTGTATTCAGAGGCATATTTTGCCCCCCTTGGTGGAGGCAGTACATAGTTTCAGTTTAGTAAAAATGTAGCCTGCCCTGAGCTTTCAGGTAACAAAGGCTAAACAGAGAACGGCGTATTCTACAAATGAAGAACGGAGCCCTTCAAATTCGCACGCTGGCCTTTGCTAGTTAGCATTTACCTCAGCTTCTCCATCTGCAGTATGGGGATAATAATAATAATAATAATAATAATAATAATAATACTATCTTGCCTCGTCGGGTTGTTTAAAGACAGCTGGGGAAAATAGTATATAAAATAAAATAATAATAATAACTAGGGTCGGACAGAACTTCTTTACTGACTCCAGGTGTGGGCATCAGTATGACACAGAGTGTAAGCACCAGCCCACTCGCCAGAGTTTTTTCGGGCTTCATAGAATTATATAGCTGGAAGGGACCTTAAGGCTCATCTAGCCCACCCCCTGCAATGCAGGAATATGCAGGGGCCCCATACTGGGGGATCGAACCTGCAACCTTGGCGTTATCAGCACCACACTCTAACCAACTGAGCTATCCTGAGATTCAAAACCCTGGACTCAGCTACATTAATAATAATAATAATAATAATAATAATGACAACAACAACAATAATAATAAATTTTATTTATATCCCACCCTCCACAGCCAAAGCCGGGTTCAGGGTGGCTAACAACAATAAAACAATACAACATTCTAAAATCATTTCATTATAAAATTATTCAAATCAAATTGATGGCAACCATTGGGCTAGAGTTCTGTGAAGATTGTGAAGACTGTGAAGACTGTGCCTTGGCCAAAGGCCTGGTGGAACAGCTCTGTCTTGCAGGCCCTGTGGAAAGATGTCAAGTCCCGCAGGGCCCTAATCTCTTGGGACAGAGCGTTCCACCAGATCGGGGCCATGGCCGAAAAAGCCCCGGCTCTGGGTGAGGCCAGCCTAACCTCCCTGGGGCCCGGGATCTCCGAGATGTTTTTGTTGGAAGACCGTAAGTTCCTTTGTGGGACATACCAGGAGAGGCGGTCCCGTAGGTACGAGGGCCCTAGGCCGTATAGTAAAAAATAAAACGTTATAAATGCGTTATAATACCGTGACACCAGATGGCGCTATAGAGCTAAAATCGGAACTCTATGAAATTTTCCATTGTGGGCTTAAAAATGTGGTTTTCCCCCCAGAGCATTTTTTTAATAACTTTGTAGATGCAGCCCCTGTCTCTGGTTGTGGCAGCCTGTGAGGGGAAATGTTGTGGGTTGAAGGACGCAAGGAGGCAGAACACTTTGAGTTTTCGGGGTTCCGAACAGCAGTTGGCGTTGCGACAAATGATACCCCAGTCTTTGCCAAACTGGTGCCCTCTGGCTGTTTTGGACTACAATTCCCATCAGCCAGAGGTTGTCAGGTTGGGAAACACTGGCCGATGAGAACACGGTTGCCTAAAGAGGAGGATTTGGTGCTGTTTCTTAACCTTTCTCAACTCCATCCATCTGTAGTATCTGGTGATGGACTACTATGTTGGGGGAGACCTCTTGACGCTGCTGAGCAAATTTGGGGACCGCATCCCGATGGAGATGGCTCGCTTCTACCTGGCCGAGATGGTGATGGCCATAGACTCAATACACCGGATAGGTTATGTACACAGGTAGGTGGAGCAGGCGGGCGGGGGTCTCGTGGGGGGAAGGGCCAAGAAAGAGCACTCTAGGCTAGGCCTGAGGAAACTCTGGCCCAGGGTCTGATTGTGGCCCTCTGGCCCTCTTTATGTGGCCCTCAGGACTCTCCCTAGGCCTCACCATAACCAGCTCAGCTTTGCACCCAGAAAGCTTTTGACTGGCTAGACTGGTGTTTGCCAAAATGGGCGATACCGTCCCCTGGGGGGCGCTGGAACGACCCAGGGGGCAGTCGTCGTCTCAGGTGCAATTGGGGGAGGGGCATTAAATAAAAATAAGTGGAAACACAAAGGAAGAAAAGGAGAGAGGAAAAAATTGAAAACCCATTTAATCTATTGTGTAATGACACTTCTTCTTTTCCTTTGGCGATCATTCGTAGCCTATTAATATTGTCTTCCAAAAACACGGTTTTAACAGTGAGTCCGTAAGTGACTGTGGAGGCCAATTCTGGATCCACACGTCCTTCCACAGTGGGGACATTGGTTTCCGAGCGGGAGTTGATCACGGTGTGGATCTACCAAGCGTGCCTTCCTCTTAGCGCGTTTCTCCCTTGCGTCCTGAGTTTGAGTGTCTTCAAAGTCCATGACACCTTTGGTAAAGGCTGTTCTCCAACTGGAGCTCTCTCAGGCCAGTGTTTCCCAGTTGTCAGTGTTTATACTACATTTTAAAGCTTTGCCTTGAGAGAGTCTTTAAACCTCTTTTGTTGAGGTTTTTTCCTGGGCTCGGGGAAACCCTTTTTGGCTTCAGCCTGGCCTGGGAAATGGATCACAGCTTGCCTGCCTCTTTGGCCAATGGCAAGCGGACTATGGCGACCACCCAGGCCCTGGGGCAGACCGGACTATGCGTGGGAGTGAGCTACTTGTCAACTTATTTTTCAAGACGTCGTAGGTAGAAATATAGATAAGTAAAAGAAGGCAGATTTGTCATTGCTCAAAGAAGGTAGATTTCCAAGAGGGTTGAGTAATTTTGGGGGGAACCTCTGGGCTAGAATATGCCCTCGATCTCTGCTCATGCATCTTCCTTGCCTAGATAGAGGATAGAGCAGGGGTCCCCAAACTAAGGCCCGCGGGCCGGATAAGGCCCAAGGGACTCGTTTATCCGGCCTGCGATGACCTCCGCTGCCCGCTCTTACCGGTGCTACGCGGCTGCCCACTTCTGGGTCGGAGAAGCACCGGAAATAGCTTGTGCGCATGTGTTATTTCCGGTGCACATCCGGGTCAGAGGAGGCCCGTGCACATGCGCACAAGCTATTTCCGGTGCTCCTCCGACCCGGAAGTGCACCAGAAATAGCGTTTGCACACACGTATGGGCACGCGCTCCCATGCCCTTCAGCCCGACGCGCGATCGGTGCTGGAGACACCGGTCCGAGGCGCGGTAAGTTTGCTGACCCCTGGGATAGAGGGTTCGAGTCTACATCCTATTGCCCGCTCCCTGCACCCATCCACTCACCTCCCCCCCCCCGCCCAATCAGTCACCCTAAATCCCAGCTCTGCGTTCCATAATGGGCAGAACTCGAACCCGGCACTGGGGCTTTCTCCTTGGAATTCCACGCCGATTTGCCGCCAGCTCCTCAAACCCCCAAATCCCTTCTCCTTTGCCCATCGCAGTGCTCGAAGAAGCAGAATATTGGAGGCAGAGTGTGTGGGGTGTGTGTTGGGGGGAGAGATCAACCCCCTCCCACTTTCTTGCTTTTGCCTCTGGAATCTCTGGGCTGTAATCCCCTTGCAAAGCAAACCCTTTCGGTTTGCAGGCCTCTGCCAGGCTCCCCCCCCCTTCCTGACTCTGCAGCCTGCTCCAGAGGGGGCAGAGGAACGTCTATGGGGTCAGGAGGGGTTGTGGGGGGGGAGGACCAGGCGAGAATTCCAGAGTCTTCGTGACTCGCCCGCCTCCCCGCCCCCAGCTGCTGGGTCCATGAGGCCGGCCGGCGCCCCCCTCGCACACAGAGCTCCTCCACGAGCCAAAACAGCCATAAATGTTGTCCTAGATTCATAATCGCCTAATTCATCTCAGGCTGTGCAAGACAAGCTGGGCTTCCCTCCAAACCACATGAGCTGCCGAGGCTTGGGAATGCAGAGGGGCCTGCCAGGGGGTGGGGGCAGAGCGAGGGAGGGGTGCTGGGGGGGTGTTGAAAGCGGAGTGGCTTTCAAAGGAGGAATCCCCCAAGCAACGGAAACCCCGACAGAGGCTTCTAGGGACCCAGTTAGATCTTGGGACCCCAACGGAGAATGCCCCACATTGTAGACAGGGTCTTTCCAGTGGTGACCTCCGGAACTCCCTCCCCAGGAAGTTCCTGTGCCTCCACTTTGTCTGTTTTGGGGAGAAATCTTGAGATGTTTTTCTTCTTTGGAATCCCAATCTTCTGTGTGTCTTTCCTCTCAACTAAATAGCCCCAAATGCTGCTGATGAAACAAAGCAGTAGGTCTTAATTTGGGCCCCAGCTCTGGACAGAAATGCCTTGTGGAGCATCAGATAGCATTGCCTCTGAGCATGGGCAGAGCGTCCTTCTTTTGCTGTTCAGTAACCATGAGCAGTTCCGTATAGTTAAGGCCATAGCTGTCAACTTTTCCCTTTTCTTGCGAGGAATCCTATTCAGAATAAGAGAATTTCCCTTAAAAAAAGGGAAACGTTGACAGCTATGGTTAAAGCTATGGCTTTCCCAGTAGTGATGTATGGAAGTGAGAGCTGGACCATAAAGAAGGCTGATCGCTGAAGAATTGATGCTTTTGAATTCTGGTCTGGAGGAGACTCTTGAGAGTCCCATGGACTGCAAGAAGATCAAACCTCTCCATTCTGAAGGAAATCAGCCCTGAGTGCTCACTGGAAGGACAGATCCTGAAGCTGAGGCTCCAATCCTTTGGCCACCTCATGAGAAGAGAAGACTCCCTGGAAGAGACCCTGATGTTGGGAAAGATTGAGGGCACAAGGAGAAGGGGACGACAGAGGAGGAGATGGTTGGACAGTGTTCTCGAAGCTACTAACATGAGTCTGACCAAACTGCGGGAGGCAGTGGAAGACAGGAGTGCCTGGCATGCTCTGGTTCAGGGGGTCACGAAGAGTCGGACACAACTAAACGACTAAACAACAACAACACACTATGAGCCTTGCCAGAGGGGCCAGCCTTTGAGTAGGGACTGAGCCCCTCTCTACTTCCCCAGGACTGCTTGTTTCAGTTTCCCAGTCTCCAGACTTTCTCACTTATCTCTTTCCACTCCCCAACAGAGACATCAAACCAGACAACATCCTCCTGGACCGATGCGGACATATCCGGCTGGGGGACTTTGGCTCCTGCCTCAAGCTTCGCAAAGACGGGACGGTGAGACTTGAATTGGGGGTAGGGGCGATTAGGGACAGGGAACCAGGCACAGGGCCTTTTTGGTAGTGGCACCCGCCCTGTGGAACACCCACCTGTCAGATGTCAAACAGATGAATAGCTACACAACTTTTTGAAGACATCTGAAGGCAGCCCTGTATAAGGAAGTTGTTAATGTTTGACGTGTGTTGTGTTTTTATTATGTAGAAAGCTGCCCAGTGTGGCTGGGGCAACCCGATCAGATGGGCAGTGTGGTGTGTTTTTTTATTTTATTTTATTATTATTATTATTATTATTATTATTATTATTATTATTATTATTATTATTATTCAGCCTGCCTTTAGAGGCAAACTGACATAATTAATTAGCCCTTTTTGAAACAATACAAAAACTGAAAAATGGACACCCTCCAGAATTTGCACCAGGGCAGTTCTCCACCTAATAATAATAATAATAATAATTTCTATACCCTGCCCATCTAGCTGGGTTTCCCCAGCCACTCTGGGCAGCTCCCAACAGTACCATATATTATAAACACGATAAAACATCAAACATTAAAAACTTCCCGAAACAGGGCTGCCTTCAGATGTCTTCTAAAAGCCAGATAGTTGTTTATTTCGTTGACATCTGATGGGAGGGCGTTCCACAGGGTGGGCGCCACCACCGAGAAGGCCCTCTGCCTGGTTCCCTGTAACCTCACTTTTCACACTGAGGGAACCGCCAGAAGGCCCTTGGCGCTGGACCTCAGTGTCCGGGCTGAACGATGGTGGTGGAGACGCTCCTTCAGGTATACTGGACTGAGGCCATTTAGGGCTTTAAAGGTCAGCACCAACACTTTGAATTGTGCTCGGAAACATGTGCCGAAATGTACATAGCTAGGGCAAAGTGTAGGCAGTGGCGTAGCGTGGGGGGTGCAGGGGGGGCCGGCCGCACCGGGCGCAACATCTGGGGGTTAGGGTTAGGGGGCGCAAATTACTTGCCTTGCCCCGGGTGCTGACAACCCACGCTACGCCACTGAGTGTAGGAAAATCCCTACTCCAGCAAAAAACCACAAAAAAGCAGCACACAAATACGTGTTCTGTGTGTGGCAGGTCTGCTCAACGATAGCCGTTGGCACCCCTGATTACCTCTCCCCCGAGATTCTGCAAGCGGTGGAAGACGGCGCTCACTCCTACGGCACAGAGTGTGACTGGTGGTCCCTCGGCGTCTTCGCCTACGAGATGTTCTTCGGCCACACTCCTTTCTTTGCCGACTCCGTGGTGGAGACGTACGGAAAGATAATCCATTTCAAAGTAAGCGAGGGGCGGAGGTCTGCGGGTCTGTGTGGGTTTGCCTCTCCCGACAGAGAATCGGGGTCCAGATCTCTCCCTGGGCGCCCTTTCCGATTGTCAAAACTCTCCCTTCCGAAGGAGCACTTCCGGTTCCCTCCGTCGGTTCCTGACGTCCCTCCCGAAGCTCTGGCCTTGATCGAAGGGCTCATCTGCCCCCGGGAGATGCGACTGGGGCGCAACGGAGTCCGGGACTTCCAGGAGCACCCCTTCTTTGTGGGCGTGGACTGGGACTCGCTGCGGGACTGCGTGCCGTCCTTCGTGCCCGAATTTGCCAACGCCACGGACACCTGCAACTTTGACGTGGTGGATGACTGTCTCACTGACATGGTGAGCGGGGAGGGGTACGTGACTTTTTATTTGTCCCCCTCTACTCCCAATTCCTCTCCCCCCAGTGCCAGTTCATCTGAGAAACACCGTTTGGGTAACTGTGGACTCCATGTGTGAGATAGTTTTACAGAGGTGTCCCTTCCTTGTCCTGCTCTTTGGACAATAATTCCTATTGCTTCACTCGTTTCAAAATGTGGCGAGCCAGCCCTACTGGCTATGGGGCAGTGGGGGGTGGGTTCATGTTCATTCTCCTAGGTGGGGCCCCAGGGAACCACCTCAGAGTCCTGCCCTGAACTTGGCAGTTTACGACAGCTAAAACACAATCTTCACACACTTGGCTGAGTTTCAGACCTAATGACTACAGCAGCTCATCCCCAGTAGGTCTTAGAAAAGTTTGGATTTTTTTCTTACCCTTTGAATCAGTTGCCGAAACTAAAATTAGGGTTGCCATATGTCTGGAAAAATCTGTACGTAGGGCAACCCATGTTGGCAGTGTCGTTTTTGCCGTTTTCCCTGAAAAATCGCTCAAAAACGTCATTTTTTTGTGTGATTTCCGCCAGAAAAGTTCAACAACTTTGTCCCCCTGCCACAAAGCTTTTGTGTCCAGATATTTTTGAAATATGGCAACCCTACTCAAAGTTCCTATCTCACCACTGCTATCTAAATCACCTCCTCTCCAGAGCTTTCCCCAAGCAATCAGAGACTGTGCCTCCGCGAAGCCAACCTCTCCTCTGCTCTTTTCGTGCCTCTCCTGGTTCTGGGAGACAAGTGGGGAGAGGAGCTTGATGCAGGAGGGGCAGGAAGCACCTGTAATACTTCACCAGCCAGACTCATCTCGGCCTCTTGGCCTCCCTCCTCTTCTGCTTCCTCTCCTGCCTCCGATTCTGGACTGCTCTCTGCCACAGACTCACCCCGCTCACTGAGCCCTGTTCCCTCTTCTACTTTCAACAACTCCTCTTCCCCATCTTCTCCCTCTGACTACTCTTTATTATTATTATTATTATTGGTTTTCACATATTATGTTACAATATAGATGTACCAAAGCCGTGAACACCATTTCCTCCCCATACATTTACATTTCTATTTCCTCAATCAATCATATTATTCTTTTCTCCTTCCTCCCACTTCCCTCCGCCCCCACTCGATTTCCTCCGCATTATACAATTTACAATCATCTTTACATTCCACAATCTTCTCAAATCATCTATATATTCTTAATATCTTTCCTTACTAATTTTTCTTCCATCCACTACATCATATTAGCACATATATATATCTACAGGGTGAGCATCAAAAGTGCAAGTAGATAAATAGGTACCGCTCCGGCGGGAAGGTAAACGGCGTTTCCGTGCGCTGCTCTGGTTCGCCAGAAGCGGCTTAGTCATGCTGGCCACATGACCCGGAAGCTGTATGCCGGCTCCCTCGGCCAATAAAGCGAGATGAGCACCGCAACCCCAGACTTGTCCACAACTGGACCTAATGGTCAGGGGTCCCTTTACCTTTACCTTTAATAGGTATCTAAAACCATTTGCACATAACAAAATATGTATTTTATCAAAGTAATTGTTGAACTGAAATACAATTTTAGGTAGCAGACTAGTAGGCATGACTTATATCATAGGAGCCTACACAACACAAAACACTGTTGCTGTATGTAGGTTTTATTTTATTTGTTTTCTATCTTATATTTTGGAAATATACATCCAGTTTTTCCCCCTTTAAATTTCTTGGGGGGCCCCAAGAGAGGGATGAAAATGTCAAATCTTCACGAAGGCCAACTATCCAGACTGGTCCTACATGGGCCAGAAAAAAAGCCAAGGAAGTCTCCAAATAGGAGATCCATCGCAGAAGGAGAAAGGAAAAAGGAAGAGGGAGAGGGGATGAAGTTGATTCCAAGCCAAAGGCCAGGTGGAACAACTCTGTCTTACAGGCCCTGCAGAAAGAAATCAGATCCTGCAGGGCCCTGGTCTCATGAGACAGAGCGTTCCACCAGGCTGGGGCCAGTGTTGAAAAGGCCCTGGCTCTGGTTGAAGCTAATCTGACTTCCTTAGGGCCTGGGACCACTAGGGTGTTATTATTTATGGACCTTAAGGTCCTCCGCGGGGAATACCGGGAGAGGCGGTCTGTAGGTACAAGGGTCCTAGGCCGTGAAGGGCTTTAAAGGTAAAAACCAGCACCTTAAATCTGACCCTGTACTCCACCGCGAGCTAGTGCAGCTGGAAAATAACTGGGTGAATATGCCAGGTCGGGGCAGGAAAGGTAACCACTGTATGTAAATCTGGCACTGCCAGTAGGGGGTGCTATGCCCAGCCTGCTGCTGCTGCTGCTCTGGTTAGAACTGACCCCCCCAAAAAAACACCCACCCACCCTCTGTGTGCTTGTGTCTCCCTTTTCCTAGGAAACCTTGTCGGATGTGATGGAGAGCTCTCCGCTTGGGGTGCACCTGCCCTTCGTGGGGTATTCGTACACCTACACGGCAGCAGCAAAGTAAGACGCCTTTGGGGGTGCGGGGGGCGCTTGGGTTGGGAACCCCAAGGCTGGTGTCAGAAGCCAGTTGCAGGCCCTGGAATTGAGGAAAGGAGAGGGGTCCTGTTACCTGTGCAGAAGGTAGTAGGTGTACACATAGGCTGAATCTAGACCTGTATAGAAAAAATGCTTTAAAAAAACCCCACCGTTTTAAAATATATATTGAATTTTGCATTAGCTCACCATCGCCATCTGGTGTCATGTTTGTGTAATGCGCTTAAAACACACTTAAGACGTTACATTTGCACCTGCGTAGCTGAGTCCCTGAGGGACACAGGTGGCGCTGTGGGTTTAACCACAGAGCCTAGGACTTGCCGATCAGAAGGTCAGCGGTTCGAATCCCTGTGACGGGGTGAGCTCCCGTTGCTCGGTCCCTGCTCCTGCCAACCTAGCAGTTCAAAAGCACACAGTGCCAGTAGATAAATAGGTACCGCTTCAGCGGGAAGGTAAAGGGCGTTTCCATGCGCTGCTCTGGTTTGCCAGAAGTGGCTTAGTCCTGCTGGCCACATGACCCGGAAGCTGTACGCCGGCTCCCTCGGCCAATACAGCGAGATGAGCGCCGCAACCCCAGAGTCAGTCACGACTGGACCTAATGGTCAGGGGTCCCTTTACCTTTACCTAGCTGAGTCCCTGGTCCCAAGTTGACCCCTGGGCAAAACGGTCTTGTGGCAATGCAGAGACCCTGCCAGGATCGGGTCCGTGAGGCTCTCCCTTTCTCTCAGACAGAATGAGGCGGAGGAAAGAGGCCGCGGGGACGTCAGCATGGAGGTCGACGGCAGCCAGAGGACTTTGCCCCCAGAGCAGACCCCCAAGCAAACCCCGGAGGAGCTGGTAGGTTGGGGGACCAACTGGAGCCAAGATGGGGCAGTGGAGAGCCTGACCTGGTACCCCAGAGGCACCTCAGTGTCTGAGGTTTCACAGACACCTCCGTCTTGCTCCCTCCCAGGCATGCAAACTCCCAGATGGACAGAAGCTTGACGTGGCCACTTTCCTAGAGTTGCAGTCGGCGCTCGAGGAGGAGCTGAGGAGCCGTGAGATGCTGTGTCAAGAGCTCAGCATGGTCAAGGTGGCCAACCAGACCTTTGCCAGGTGAGGGTTATGGATGTTAGGATATTGATGCTCCGTTCCACCTTAAGAACGGGCATGTGGAGTTGTTGTATGTCACATGTCTTTTTACTACACAACTTCTGTTGTGTATAGCTTTTGCTTTTGCTTTTGAAAGAGAGCAGACATGTTTTCTTTGTCCTGAACTACGCTGAATAAACTGCTTGAAAATATGCTTTAAGGGACGCGGGTGGCGCTGTGGGTTAAACCACAGAGCCTAGGGTTTGCCGATCAGAAGGTCGGCGGTTCGAATCCCCGCAATGACGGGGTGAGCTCCCGTTGCTCGGTCCCTGCTCCTGCCAGCCTAGCAGTTTGAAAGCACACCAGTGCAAGTAGATAAATAGGTGCCGCTCCGGCGGGAAGGTAAATGGCGTTTCCGTGCGCTGCTCTGGTTCGCCAGAAGCGGCTTAGTCATGCTGGCCACATGACCTGGAAGCTGTACGCCGGCTCCCTCGGCCAATAAAGCGAGATGAGCGCCGCAACCCCAGAGTCGGTCACGACTGGACCTAATGGTCAGGGGTCCCTTTACCTTTAAATATGCCTCTGTCCTCCACTTCTGTTGTGTGTTATTCACTCTTCTGATTGAGGCGTGCTCAAGCTTTTGAAGGCTTCTGAAGCTGTGTGCCACTGTTTTGATGCTGTTCCAAGGGCCAGAGTTCGTCCGGCTGCCGGCCGGTGGGCTAGAGTCAGCTGGGGGCCTGCGAATTGCCCCCGTTCCCTTGGACACATCCAAACAATGGGATGCGGGGCTGCAACAGCCATCTTCCTTCCAGGCCAAGTGCCCTCTCTCCGATGCCCACCTCCGACTGTGACCCAAACGCCAACAGGGGAAGCCACAAGGGTGACTTGAGAAGTCACAGCTTCAGAAGGAACCAAAAGACCATTGTTGTGCCACAAACATTGTCAAAGAAGAAAGCGGACTGGGTAGCAAATTGTCTCAGGGTGTTCCAAACAACAACAACAACAACAACAACAAAACAACAACAACAACATTTATTATTTATACCCTGCCCATCTGGTTAGGTTTCCCCAGCCATTTGGGTAGCTCCCAACAGAATATTATTATTAATAATAAAAGCGATAAAACATTAAAAGCTTCCCTAAACAGGGCTGCCTTCAGATGTATTCTAAAAGTCAGATAGTTGTTTATTTCCTTGACATCTGGTGGGAGGGTGTTCCACAGGGCGGGCGCCACCACCGAGAAGGCCCTCTGCCTGGTTCCCTGTAACCTCACTTCTTGCTAGGTTCCCCAAGCCACTCTGGGCAGCTCCCAACAGAATAATAATAATAATAATAATAATAATAATAATAATAATAATAATAATAAAAGCTATAAAAGATTAAACATTAAAAACTTCCCTGTACAGTACATGCCTGCAGATGTATTATAAAAGTTTATTTCCTTGACATCTGGTGGGAGGGCGTTCCAGAGGGCGGGTGCCACTACCAAAAAGGCCCTCTGCCTCGTTCCCTGTCACTTGGCTTCTTGCAGGGAGGGAACTGCTAGAAGGTCCTTGGCGCTGGACCTCAGTGTCAGGGCTGAACGATGGGGGTGGGAAGGCAGGAATTTGGAGGAGAACCTCCTATGATCAACGAAGAATGAATGGAGTTCGAGGAAGCTGGACTTTCCACATTAGATGGCAGACAGGGTGAATGGGCCCAATCCCCTCAGGCACGTGAAGGCCGGAAGACACTGAAATGATTAGCTACAAGGGCATGAAAAACAAACCTAGTTTAGTTGTTATTAACCGTTTTTCAGTGGGATTTCTTTCTTTTTAATTGTACTGTTTTACTGCTTTGTGTTTGCCGCTCCTGGGCTCTGTTGGCAGGAAGAACGGCTTGGAGCTTTAATAAAGTTAAATAACACGAGTCGCTTCAGGGTAAGAACAGCAGCTAAACTTAGATCTGAAAACAGTGTGGAGAAGATCAGGTACGGAATAACTAGAATATGCAGCATTCATTGGGAAACTGGGGAAACCAAGGGGGGGGGGATCCTAAAGTTACTGGATTATTTGATAGGAATTTCGAATGTGTTGTAAATTATGTGGAAAATATATATACAGTGGTACCTCTGGTTGCGAACGGGATCCGTTCTGGAGGCCCGTTCGCGACATGAAAAGAGCGCAACCCACAGCTGCTTCTGCGCATGACGTCATTTTGCGCTTCTGCGCATGCGCGAGCGGCGAAACCCGGAAGTAACCCTTTCCGGTACTTCCGGGTCGCCGCAGGACGTAACCTGAAAGAACGTAACATGAAGCAGACGTAACATGAGGTATGACTGTATATAAAATAATAATATTAAATAACGAGTAGATCAGTCCCTTCTCCCAGGCTTCCTACTTTCCTGGCATCAAATACTGATTGTCTCGCCTTTTCCTGCCCAGCCAACTCAAGGAAGCCGAGAGCCGCAATTTGGAACTGGAAGCTCAGATCAAACGCCTGGAGGAGCAGATCGAAGGGATGAGGCCGATGGCCGAGGAAGGCAAGTTTCACCGGAGCCCCTTCCCTCCTCCTGCCTGCAGCCCCTCGCCCAGCTTGCGTTCCTGGCAGACTCTGCCCCTTCAGCTTGCTGACCACTCCCTTCGGTTCCAGCTCTTTCACCCCCTTCCCTTCCACAGTTTGGAAGAAGCACGTGCCCCAAGGCCAGCGCTGCACCCAGAAGCAAGCCAGGGAGCTCGGCCCCAGCCGCACGCACGGACTGAGTGCTTTGGACTACAACTCCCATCATCCGCAGCCAGCATGGCCAACAGTCGGGGATGGTGGGAGTCGCAGTTCGAAACGTCTGGAGGGAACCGGATTGGTAAAGGCTGGCAGTTGAAAGGAAGTGTGTGCACGAAGAATTACTTTTTTCATACCACACGTCCAAAGCACTGTGGTACCACTTTAAAACGTCATGGCTTCCCCCAGAGGATTCTGGGAGCTGTGGCTTGTTCAGGGTGCTGCTAGACCTGTCGTTGTTTTTATTTTGATTACATATTTTGTGGTTTTTATATTTTTATTTTGTTCTGTGAACTGCCTTGAGACCTCTGGGCTATAGGGCGGTATATAAATTATAATAATAATAATAATAATAATAATAATAATAATAATAATAATAGACCTACAGTGGATGCTTGGGTTGCGAACATGATCCATGCGGGATGCATGTTCGCAACCCACAGTGGCGCGCCTGCACACACATGGGTTGTGATTCGACGCTTCTGTGCATGCGCAAAGCGCTTCTGCGCATGCACGACCTCCGAAACCCGGAAGTAACCCGTTTCCAGTACTTCCGGGATTCGGAGCGTCCGTAACCTGAAAAAACACAACCTGAAGCTTCTGTAACCCAAGGTATGACTGTACTTTCCTCAAGAGCTACGATTTCCAGAGTAGTTTATCCATCTTATCCCTCTTCACAGGGAACCCTGAGAACTGTAGTTTTTTTTGGGGGGGGGGATAGGGAGGTTTCCGAACAACACTCTGCAACCTGAACCATCTACAGGATTCCTTGGGAGGAAGCCGTGACTTTATAAAGTGGTCTCTTGGCTCTTTGGGTGAAATGAAATGTATGTTTATTCGGCTTTACGCCGATCATGAAACACAACAAAACAAATCAAATCAAATCAAATCAAATAAAACAGCGGACTCGTACAAACCACAAGTTGTATAACACAGTTCACAACTCACAAGGTCAGATATTAGCCATTCATAAGAAAAGTTTAAGATTAAGATTAAAAATTTTGGCACTAAAATCAATATCTGATGTCATTATAGAAACTTCTTATAACTATCAATAATCAGCTAACATTCCGTTCCGTCTCTTGTACGAGAGGACGGCTGTTAGGAATTAGCAACCTGTAGGGTAATATAAGGATCCACATCTTGAAGAACCCAGGCAAGCTGTAGGTCTACTGGTTTGTCAGCCATAGGCTGGATTATGGAGTTTAGTATACTAGCACGGGCTGAACTGTACAAAGGGCAGGTAAACATAACATGATGTAGAGATTCAGATGTTTTCATTTCACAAGCACACATTGAAGGGACTTGGCCCTTAGTGAATCTACTCTTTGGGTGTATGGTGCGTACTCAGAGCAGACAGACCCCTTGGCAAACTTGAGCCCACTGATTCTGAGGCTATGTGCACATGAGTTGCTTAAAACACAGTGGGGCCACCCCCCGCCTCCTGCCTTTCCAGGGAGGAGCCGCATTTCCAGAGAGACGACCGGGCTGTCTTTGCCCGATGTTCATCGCCAGATCCACCAGCAGGCTGAATGCTTGGATCTATAGGCCCAGCACCCCGCTGACTGGGTTTGGGGTGAGGAGGGAGCCTCCACCTGCCCTCCGGCCCCATCTAGCAGTAGCCTAGAATGGAAGGGGAATCATGGCCTTCCTTGAAGGTTCTCTATCATTGACACTCTGAGTCCTGCTCCTTTTGCTTCCCCTTCTGGGGGCTGGGTGGGTGCTCTAACCCTTGAAAATTCTCCCTCACTGGCTCCCGCTCCACCCTGCCTCTCGCCATCAGAGGGGCAGGTGCCTGACTGGTCAGTTTGAGCTCTGTCAATGGCTACCAGCATAATAATAATAATAATAATAATAATAATAATAATAATAATTTAGTATTTATCCCCCGACCATCTGGCTGGGTTTCCCCAGCCACTCTGGGCAGCTTCCAACAGAATATTAAAATACAATAACCTATTAAACGTTAAAAGCTTCCCTAAACAGGGGTGCCTTCAGATGTCTTCTAAAAGTCTGGTAGCTGTTTTTCTCTTTGACATCTGGTGGGAGGGCGTTCCACAGGGCGGGTGCCACCACCGAGAAGGCCCTCTGCCTGGTTCCCTGTAACTTGGCTCCTCGCAGCGAGGGAACCACCAGAAGGCTCTGGACCTCAGTGTCCGGGCAGAACGATGGGGGTGGAGACGCTCCTTCAGGTATCCAGGCATACCCTCCGAGTCTCAAAACCAGGACACACACCTTTCCGTCTGTGTTCCTGCACAAGTGACATGCAAGATCACGGAGCCCCAAATACACTATTTTTCTCGGAGCTGTGCTCTTGCACAATGGCACGGCACCCCAAAATATATTTGGGGGGCACACCATGCGAGATTGCGGCCCTGAGAAAAGCACAAGGGCTGGGCGCAAATTCACGTGAGGTCACGGCACCAGAAATGGCCACTGTGCTCTTGCTGGGGCAGGGAATGAAATGTGCCGGTTTTTCTGGGGCACTTGCGGGGTCTGTTCTATGCTCTGCCTCTGCTGTTGTGTCTCAAGTGGGAAAGAGTTGTTCATGCACTCAAGTCCTGCTTGGGGCAACTGGTTGGCCAATTTAAGAACAGGGTGTTGAACCAAATGGAGACTTCGTTGTCCTGGTGCATCAGGCCTCTTCCTAGGTTCTTATATGTGCTTCATATCCGTACACAGAGCTGTCTTAGGCATATCCGGCGCCGTGGTGCAAAGATCCCTCAAGCGCTCCACCCCGTTTCCCAGAGTTGTCAACCTTTCCCCAAGCCTCTGCAATAAATAATAATAATAATAATAATAATAATTTATTATTTATACCCCGCCCATCTGGCTGAGTTTCCCCAGCCACTCTGGGCGGCTCCCAATCAGTGTTAAAAACAGTACAGCGTTACATATTAAAAACTTCCCTGAACAGGGCTGCCTTAAGATGTTTTCTGAATGTCAGGTAATTATTTATCTCTTTGACATCTGATGGGAGGGCGTTCCACAGGGCGGGCGCCACTACCGAGAAGGCCCTCTGTCTGGTTCCCTGTAGCCTCACTTCTCGCAATGAGGGAACCGCCAGAAGGCCCTCGGCGCTGGATCTCAGTGTCTGGGCTGAATGATGGGGGTGGAGACGCTCCTTCAGGTATACTGGACCGAGGCCGTTTAGGGCTTTAAAGGTCAGCACCAACACTTTGAATCGTGCTCGGAAACGTACTCTGCAAGGATTGCTCTCCTACAGCAGAGGCTTAAGAGGCAAGCTGCATGCCCGTCAGCCATATAGTTGACGGGGCGCAGCTGGCGGGCATGCAAGAGGCAAAGGGGAGGCCGCCAGCAAAGCTGCGCAGCTCCCCCACTCGCTGGGGCGCCCCTGAGAGGCCTGTGCCCTGGCGCAACACACCACTAAGCCCTATGGGAAAGACGGCTCTGTCGGTACGGAGTGTGCTGGTCCCATGGGTTACCCGAGAGGCGAGGTTCAAGTCCGGTCCGTGGTCAAAGGTGCGACGAGGAGGTAGTCCGTAGTAGCTGGAGCTGGGTGCAGGGCAGGGAGTTGGGTGAAGTCAGGAACAGGCTGGCAAGCAAGGAGCCAGGGGGGGTCAGGCAGAGAAGCAGGACAGGGTTCAGGCAGGAACTAGCAACCAAGAATGTTGCTCCCGCAACTTGGGACTGGGCTGGCTGGCTTTTATCTGCCCCGAGGCATAGGGCGGCCCCGATCCTCTGGTGCCTCGCCTCTCCTGGCCTGGAGGCGAGCACTCCTCCTGCGGGAACTTTGTTCCCTCCGCCTCTCTGCCCTGAGCCTCTGCAGCTCAGGAGAGGCTGGAGGGTTACTGGACCCAGAGGCAACCTCAGCTTCCTCTGATGGGGCTGAGAGTGGAGCACCTGCAGGCAATGGGTCCTCCATCCCCTCAGGAGCCAGAGCAGACTCAGCAGATGCCCTGCACCTGAGGATCCAGCACAGGTGAGGACCCTTCAGGCTCAGGCCCCAGCCCCGGCTCAGCTGGTTCTGGATGGCAGGGAATCCTGTGCAGGCTGGGATCCCTCAGGTTCAGCATCCGAGTCCGAATCCCAGGCCATCACAGTGAGCCACAACAGCACATGAGAGCTGTCAGTCGCCAAGGGTCGAGTGAGAAGCCTGCTGGCCTTTGTGCACCAAGGGAAGCATAGCATGCGATGCGCGGCGCATGGCAACGGGCCGCTTCTTTTGCCCAGCACGCCTGCCGGCTTGTTCCCGCATGCCTTGTAGGCTAGTCTCTTTCTCTGTACATTGCCCTCCCCTTCCCCACCCGTTCACCACCAACACCCCGCCCCCCCACAAAGGAAACTCGCCCCCACGTTTCTCTTTTCCTTCCAGCTGCTCTGGGCTGGAGCCCCCGCTGGCCCCCCAACCACACCCACCCTTTCTTGTGCCGCGTGGAGCGCCTGGCAAATGTAAGCCTGACTCTGCAGGTTGCCGTACCTCATGGAGGAGGTGGGGGAGGGAAAGGGATGTGTGTGTGTCCCCCCCTCGCCCCACAAGCTTAGGCTCCCTTCTGGGTGAGGAGGGGAGATGACGCGTTCTAGTCTGCCCAGTATTGGGGTCCTCTGACTCTGGGGCTCTGTGGGTCCTGCATCCACCTTCCACGCACCCCAAGTTCTGCATCCAGAATGTATTTTGCATTTTATTTTTGGAAGGGGGGTGGGTGCAGCTTATTCACATTCTCTTATGCAACTTGCTTTGTGCTTCAAATATTAGATTTCCTGGTTCGTTGCGTTTTTTCTTGAAAAGGCGATAGATGGGAAAGGTTTAATTCCAAGAGGACTAGAAACTTGGCTCCATAAAGACAAGGGGCAGTGGCTGTCACAACCCACAGCCCAAATGGCAGCTGGGGGGTGTGGGGGTTTCTGGCTGGGTGTGCACAGAGAAAGCAAGCAGTTGTGCTTTGATCTGGTCTCTCCCCCCAACCCACCCACTTGCCGCCGCCCCTCCCAATTGCCTGGCACTCTGCCCCGCTGACTTCTGCTTTCTCTTTCCAGCAAGGCGGCACCATGGCATCTCGGCTTTGTGAATACCCGCTTGTGGTACCCCTGTACCGGCACTTGCTGCTCTTTTCTAGGGTACGTCGGCTGCCATCATCGCGCATGTGCGAACACACCGACCTCTCTCTCTCTCTCTCCCCCTCTTCTCTGCTTACCTGAAGCCAGTGCTTGCTTGGCCTGAGAGCGGCCTTCCGCTCCCAGCTCTTCTGGTATTGTGTTCTTTTACACACACACCCCTGACTGACGGAAAGCCATCGAGGGCAAAAAAGAGGCCCTGTGCAGAGACGGGGCAACACAGCCCGATTGGAAGGTGGTTGGGGCAGAGCACTGATTGCAGAAGAGGGATTAAAATACCCCAAAACTACCTCCTTCCCTACAGGTCCTCTTGGGGGCAGAGCTTGGCAGTGGGGCCCCTCTTGGTTGTCCCTATGCCCTCAGAGGCTTGGGGGTGGGGTGGGCCTTCTCTGTGGTGGCCCCTAAAGTGTGGAACTCCCCCCTCCATTATGCAGCTTAGGGAGGCACCTTGGCCTTTGACAGCTGAGGTGTATAATTTTAGGGCCTACTTAATTTTGGGGACTGGAAGTCGTTTTGAACTGTTTTTAATGCAGCGTTTTAATCGGGTAACCCCCCCCCCGGGACCTCGGGGTGAAATAAATAAATAAATTTAACGGCAATAAAAGCTGCCATTTATTTAATAGCCTTTCTTGTGGCACATGGTTTTGGAATAATATGGCGCCAACGGGCCTGTCTGCTTAGGCTGAAGTGTTTCCGTTTTCTTACGCCTAAAAGTCAGGCCGAAGGCCCAGCTTGCCAAGAACCAGAGCACACCGTCTCGTTTTGCCGCCCCCAACAAACCCTCCCTTCCTGGAGTCACACAGCCTTGGCTTCTGGCGGTATTGTGCAAGAGGTCCCAGAAGTCTCCGTACAATTTCGCGGGGCTCTCGCAAGATCTTGCCAGAACCCAGGAGCCACTGCAACCACTTCTCCGGCGGTAGGAGACACGCCTGGAGAATGCTCCTTGGATTCTGTCGCCTGTGGCAGCTGCCTCGGCCTGCCTCATGGATGGGCCGGCCCAGAACTGTCTGCTCCAGTTCTCTCCAGCCATTTTGTCCTCTTAAGCCCATTGTAGGCAACCTCGTGGGAGACTGGCTGCTCCGTCTCTCCATGTCAGTTCTTCACAGTTTGTTCTCCGCCAGCCTCTGCTGAGCACCACCAAGGACCAATCCATTCCTGCAGCCATCTAAAGAATTCTAGTGTGCCAGGGAGAAAGGCACTAGCCTACCTCAACATGCTAGCTTCTCATGGCCAGGAACCTTTTAATTTTAGGGCAGAATACTCAGTTGTGAGGATACCCGGCCTTGCAGTGGTACACCCAGGCGTGGCTTGACTGTGTGAGAGTCGCAGGAGTGATTGAGCACAGAGAAAACAGGATTGTGTAGTTATTCTTACATACCTGAAAGCAAACCTTCCCAGGGGTTGAGGGCGCCTCCCAAGTTTTATTTCAAACAAGTGTCCTTCGGCTGAGGTTTCTGGGAAGGCAGGGCCTTTTTGGAGTGGCCCCGTCTGCCCAGAAGCTCAGCCCATTATTACTGTTACTTGCACGGGACACGGCAAGCCAGGGACTCTCGCAACAAGCGGGATGACTTACGGTCCCTTGTGGTTCCAGCAGCAGGGATCCGCTGGGTCTCAAACCCACTGGTTTCCCCTTCTCCCCCAAACCCAAGGGCTTCCTTCTTCTGTCTTGACCAGCCTGTTTTCTCTTCCCAGGTACATAGGCCCTGCATCGTCAAGGTGGGATACCTGCTCTTATGCACTGGCAGATTTGCCCTGGACGCCTCTCCTCGGAGCCTGGTGGAGGTGGCATGAAGGCCATCGGCGAGGGGGGAGACCCTTGTGCCCAACAGCTGCTGCCCAGCCCTTGCCAGGTGCCTGGGAAAACCTCCTTTATCACTTGCCAGCTGCCCCCAGAAGGGAGATTAGGGCCCAGAGGGCTGAAAACCCCCTTCTCCTTGTGCCTTGGCAAGGAAGAGGACCCTTTGCGATCCAGATGCTGCCTGAACCAACGACCGAGCCCACGCCACTCCCCAGGGCCTCGCTTCCCTAAACTCTTGAGCCCTGCCTCTGAACTTGCCTCGCTTTGCGAAGACAGCACTGGTCTCCCCAGCTGACATCACTGTTAGCAGCCAGGGAGGAATTTCCTAAAGGGCCACAAGCGGCCGAAGAGAACCCTGCAGAGATCCCCAAGACCTCTCGACTCCCAACTCCTTCCCACTTTTTATCCTCCGGCTGCTCTGCCTCGAACGCGAGGGGCAAAATTTGGGAGCTGCTGTAGGATCCAGCAATCCCAGCATCCTCAATTGAACCCCTTAAATTCCTGTAGGGCAAGGAGCCCAGGAGTCCTGTCTCCCAGCCCTTCTAGTCAGCCCCCCATCTCTGACTCCCCGGTCTCTGATTCCGACATGGCTGTTTCCAAGAGGTGAAGGCTGGGGGGGGGAATTCCTTCGTGGCAAGTGTCTTCCTGGGGACGCAGCTTCCGCTTACCCCTTGGCGACGCTCCCCCCTCGGATCACGACTGCCGCCCCAATGACCCATGGCTGCTTTGCACCAGCTCCCACCCACCCCCTTGGGAGTTTGGCGCAAGGGAAGTCGGCGGAGGGACGGCTGATGGAAGAGGACTGGACTTGGATTCCAGTTTTGCTTGGAGAACGCTCTGCTATCGGCGGAATCTGCGCAAGCAGATATTGTACACGGTGCTTCCGAGTCACGCTTCGCACTTGGGATTGGCTGGGCTAAGACTAGGACGGTCCTCTGGGTAGCTGCCCCAAGGCCCAGGCGGGACCTTGGAGAAGACTGCAAAGCCAGGCACGTCTCAAGTTCACTTGATGGGAAGCGCCACCGGCAACAGAAAAATGACTTATACCTGCACTTCTACACTTCCGGCACCTGGGGGCAGCACCAAGCCTTTCTTGCTCCACACTGCCGCACGTACACAAGGTTGTTGGTAATTTATTTGGGATTGTGGTGTTTAGCTGTAAATCTTATTTCCCGCTCCAGCAGGTGATGGACCTCTGTTCCCTGCCTCTTCCAAAAGGTGTGCGCGCACTCGTCTCTAACGAAGGGAAGCGCACAGGAGAACGTTTAGCTTGAAGTGGGGGGGGGAAACTGTGCTAGTTTTAAGGTTTTGCACTATGCTCTCCTCTTGGTCCCTGGTCACCTTCCTTTCTCCCCATATTTATTATTCCATCTCCCCCCCCTTTGTGTAATAATATGGCACACGGGGGCTAGATGCATGAGAACACTGTACATTTGTGACACTGTGTGTTAAGGATGTTGCTGCTCTCTCTTCAGAGATGAAATAAAATTGGATTCTTCCGTAGCCTTTTGCTGCGCTGCAATGTAGGAATTTTGCAACTAAGGGCCAAGACGAAACACGGGAGGGGAAGGAACCGGGGCAGGTGGCAAGACACACTCACGGCACCATCACAAGCAACTCCACGCTTTCACACGTGACAAGGAAAACGACACTGTCTCACGCACTGATTTTTGCAGAACAGAGCTCTCTCTCTGTTTCCTTAGAGCACACACCGTGGTGGTTTTTTTTTACTGGCACCAGAATTTATGCTCCACAAGCTTCCGTTCCTCCTCCTCCCCCCCCCTCGAGCCCCCCACCCCACCCCCCAAACCACCAACATTTAGCAGGGGAGGCTGTGGTGTGAAAACTGTCTCTTTAGTATAAATAGGAGTTCACGATTCTATAATTTAAACACTCTTCAGACACAACAGTAACAAACGTTTAGAGAGCAGGTAGTAAAGTGACGAAGGCACAGGGGGGGCGTCATCGTCGCAGCTTCCGGGCGTGTTCTTCTGCGGACTTTGGGGGGGTTGAGGGGTCTCGGCTGCCAGACACCAGCTGGCAGGCAAAGGCCGCAGGACCGGGAGGGGAGGGAGGCAGACAAGAGTGCGAGGGCAACATGCATTTGGGAGGCGGGGGGGGGGGGGAGAGCAAAAGTAATACTGTCCGCCAAGGTCTCTGCGAAGGATCCAAGCAGACCTGGGGGGGGGGGCGAGGCAGAGTCCCTCCTGTGCTCCCCACGTTCCTCTGACCAGGCTGGGATGAAGCGGGTGTGAAGATTGTGTGAAGTGGCTCGGCACCCAGTATGGCTTTTTTTTCCTGGGGGAGGGGAGCCAGTCCCGTGGTGGTCAGTCCTCTGAGAGTGGGGTTTTTTCACCCACCCACCCGTCCCAGTTGGTTTCTCTGGCAGCTGGGCCGCGTTTTGCAAAGATGCAGAGCTGACGATGGGTTCACAGTGAGCATAGCGTGACGTACAAGACGGGTCCCCTTGCCAGGCTGGCCTCCGTCCGCCTTCGAGCCTTTGCCGGGCAGCTGATGGGCGGTCCCCAAGGTGAAGACTCGTGGCGAACGCGGGTGGTTGGGCTCGAAGTGGGCAGAGTCTCCTGGATGCGTCTCGAATGCGAAGGGCCCAACCCCAGGATGTGTGCAGGTATTACCAACGAGAGCGTGGGTGCCTCTGGGCATGTGCAGGTGGCCACTGTAAAATAACAGCCGGCTCCCCTGGGGTCCCAGGGAAGTTCCTAACGCCCTCTTGTGTTAGAAACCAGGCATGGCAGGCAGGCAGCCCTGCCCTTAGAGCAACTCAGCCAAGCCCTGCTCCTGCCCAGGTTTGGCTCCGCTGGAAACGCTATAAAACAAGAGCTGCTTTTGAATCCACTGGGCAGCACCAGGCCTCAACCAATTCTATTGGTGAGTTTGGAGACTGTTACAGGCACAAATCCTGGCCCCCCATGACCACGATAAACAGGCAAACTGGTAGGACATGGGATGCTTCTGCAGAAACCAGCATCCTTTATCCTGGCTCTTGCTGGAAGCTCAGATGCGCAGGACGAGGAGCTGCAAACGGAATACTACTCCCCACAGAGAAAACTGCTCCTAGTGCATGTAGCCCAGGGCTTCCCTCTAAGCCTGTCGGTGCTAAAGCAAAAGCAGCGAGAGGGAGAAGTCCAGGGACCCTCTTGGAAGTTTGTGGGAAGTTTTCAGCCCAGGTTAATGGGGATTTTTTGCCCAGCACCCCCTCCGCAAACTGCACCCTCCCAGGTGTTTTGGGCTACAACTCCCCACGGCTGCGCAGGCTGGGCCTCGTGGGAGTTGTAGTCCCAAACGCCCGGAGGGCGCCGGGTTGGCGAAGGCTGCTCTGCCTGTACTCCAGGGTGTAAGATAAACCGCACAAGCGTGGCACTGTGTACATAAATGCAGGTGTGGTAAAGAGAGGCTCAAAGCTGCCCCTACTTGTACTTTTAACGTTTTTGAAGCAATAAATAAAATAGAACACACTTGCAGAAAACTGGCTCTCTGCGTGTGTCTCTTAAGACTGCCCTCAATCGCCAAAGGATGTTAGGAATATTTTAAATGGCCACATACTGGATGAAACATGTGTATTTCTTTGAATCTGTTTTGGAGCAGCTGTTTTCCGCGACAGGAGGGGTTGTAGCTGGCACTAAGCCCTACTTCGAGTAGACCCACTTAAATTACCCAGCCTAACTTAGGCCCACTTATTCCAATGGGTCTACTCTGCGTAGGGCCTAGCATCAGGTGCAACCCAGAATCCTCAAGCAGATCAAAGCCTGGCCCAGAATAGACACATATTCCTATAATTTTTTCTGTGGACAGAATACAGATAAGCAGTTGAAATGTCTAGAGATAAGCTCTACTGGGATTCTGGCCATGCCCCAACAAAGACCTACCACGGCACCCCCAGGGCTCTCTTAAGGCTCTGTGCAAGGTTATGCACCAGAATGGCTGCCCAGCCTGAATTTCTGCCCATGCTGCTCTTTGCTGGAGCCCTTGATTCTTGTCTCTGGCCAAGAGGCTTGGGGAGAAAGGAAAGCAGACAGCTTTCTCTGCCGCCGGCAGCAGCCGACGACATCACAAGAATTGGCTCCACCTAAAATATTTGCCCTCTCCTCCTAAGCCACATCCACAGTAGGAAAACTGCCAAACCCAATCAACTATCTACTGGGACAGATGAACTTCCAGTTACTGCACGGATAATTCCGCTGCAGTATCCTGTTCTCTTAAACATCTTCCACTAGTGCCCAAATTTATTCTTTTGAAAACAAGATGGCAGCTGCTCTTCCTGTAAATGCAACCCTTCAAAGTCGAGGGTTTGAGACTCTGGGCTTCCGAGCGGCTGAAACATCCCATCGATTTCCTTGCACCTGCCTGAGGTTGGCAGCCCGCGCTCGACATTAGGAGGGCTGGCTATTTAAAATGTGCATTGACAGACTGGGCGCACATATGTCGATCAAACTAGGGTGGGGGAAAGCCACGTGGTACAAACAGGCCCGAGCAGTTGAGGGCAGAGCGCATCTCGCTGGCCCAGAGACGAGATCGAATCCAGAGGCAGATCCGTGGAAGAGAGAAAGAGCTGAGAAACCGAGCCACCTGTCAGCTCAGTTCAGAGGAAAAGGTCCGTTTTGCTTCTGAAAGGACCACAGAGGAGGTCGTGAGGATGGGCAGCTGTCTAGGCCCCAAGGCTGGGAGACGGGACGTTGGCAAGAGGACCCGGGCAGTATCTCGCTGGATCTCAAACACCTGGCAACGTGTGTCTGTGGACCAGTTGGTTACACTGGGAGGAGGAGAAGGAGGGAGAGTTGGGGAGATAGACCTGCTGTTAAAGACTGAAAAGACCCTTCTGGCGGAGGGGAGGGTCGTGGGTCCCGCAAGAAACCGGGACGCGTTGTGCAAAACACACATAAATTTAAAACGAAGAGATGAAGAGGAGGGGAGGTGTTCTTCCTTCGGGGCTTGGTTGTTCTCCCCCTGTGCAAAAGGGATTCCTTCCGCTTTCTCCGAGGAGCTGGGTTAGGGCGGGTGAAGATCGCAGACGGGTCCTATCCAGTCCAGAGCAGCAGGGCAGCTGGAAGGCAGTGAGGAATCCCCGCCTGGGAGACGAGGGACAAGGAAGCAAGGTGGGGTGGAGGCAGCTCAGTTCACCCTTGTGCAAAATCTGCCCCGGCAGCAGCCTGTGCTAAGATCTTAGCTTTAAATATGGTTCATATTAATACTTTTTTTTTCTTTAAATAGCTGAGAAGGAGTGCAAAGGGTCCTGTGCTACATAGGTCTCAATATATTAACTCTGTTAGTCTCTCTCTTTTTCCATACAGTTAAGTGTCACAGGCGAAGGAGGAAGGGGATAACCTGTACATACTCAGAAGCTGCAGGAGAGGCGGAGAGCTTCGCCATCTTGGCCAAGGGGCCTCGGCAGGGCAAAGAGTCACAGACACCTGTGAGGAGGAGGTCAGCCGAAGGAGGGGGGGCGCCGCCCGGTTATACCACCGTGCCGCTGGGAGAGCCGCCGTTCTGGGAGTTCAGGGTCTGAAAAGGAAACAGGGTGGGGGAGAGAAGAGTTTTAAGCGCCGAGAAGAAAAATAGCAGGTCAGGAAGGGCTGCTGGGCTCCTTCTCCCTGAGATGCTACTTTTCTAAGTGCAGGGCGGTTTGGAACTTTTATGTATACAGTTTATATACTGCTTAGTAAAAATAAAAATAAATCTCCAAGCGGTTTATTTAAAATAACATGGGATTAAAACTAAAGCCATCTAATACATGCCTTCTGAAAGGTAAATAAGGTAAAGGTAAAGGGGCCCCTGACCATTAGGTCCAGTCATGACCAACTCTGAGGTTGCGGTGCTCGTCTCGCTTTATTGGCCAAAGGAGCCGGCGTACAGCTTCTGGGTCATGTGGCCAGCATGACTAAGCTGCTTCTAGTGAACCAGAGCAGCGCACGGAAACGCCGTTTCCCTTCCCGCTGGAGCGGTACCTATTTATCTACTTGCACTTTGACGTGCTTTCGAACTGCTAGGTTGGCAGGAGCAGGGACAGAGCAATGGGAGCTCACCCCGTCATTGCGGGGATTCGAACCGTCGACCTTCTGATCGGCAAGCCCTGGGCTCTGTGGTTTAACCCACAGCGCCACCCGCGTCCCCATACAGTTTATATGCTGCTTCGTAAAAAGAAAAATAAATCTCCATGTGGTTTATTTAAAATAACATGGGGGGATGAAAAATAAAGCCATCTAATACAGTACATGCCTTCTGAAAGGGGTGTGTGTGTGTGTGTGTGTGTGTGTGTGTGTGTATATATAAACTAATTATTACAGAAAAAATGAGCGAAGAAAAGGAGAAGGTTTAAGAATTGAGTATCAGGGCTCCTGAAAGCTTGGGTAAGAAAGCATGTCTTTAAGACAGGGGCCCTCCAAATACTCCCAACATGCAGCATGGCCAGGGATCAGGGATGATGGGAGTTGTAGTCCAACAACGCCTGCAGAGCTGCAGGCTCCCCACACCTGCTTCCAGGGGAGTTTAAATCAGGTTACTGTCCCTGCCTCTCGGGCCACCTGGGGAGGGTGTTTCAAAGGGCCACCACTGACAGAGCCCCCATGAAGCAAGCCAGGTCTCCTCAGAAGCTCTTAAGCTTTGCTGCTGCCTTATGCCCTGACTGGTCCTTTGCTTTCCCAGCTGGAGAAAGCAGGCATCTGCCTGTCTGCCCACTCAGAATTAAAGTCAGGAGGGAAAGAAGGAGAGGCAGGCAAGCAGGCAGGTATCAGCCGCTGCCCTGAAGGCCCAGCGCTGGGTTTTCTCCAACTAGACTAGAGAAAACAGTACTGGGAAATGGTAGCATCTGTTGTGGGGGGCGGGGGGTGATGAATTGTGCAGTAGGCCGGAAGCACTGAGAGAATTCTCACTCGCTACAGGAAGCTGTTTAATGGCCGGCTGGGATTTGCTCCCCAGTGAAATCGGGGGAGAAGAGACCCTCTCACTTGCCCTCCCGGATCTTGCCCTCTTAACTCCACCCAAAGCCATTTAACAGCAGTGCTGCTCCTCTTTTTGTGTGTTGCAGTGCTTAAAAGAGTGTCTGGCCAGTACCCAAATCCCAACTCAGGCAGGGACTTCACACTGGGCGACCCCGGGGGCCGGCTACTATCTCTTAAGCCCAGCCCACCTCACAGGGTGGTTGTGAGGACAAAAACGAGGCAGGGTGGGGAAGAGAGCCACGTACGCCGCCTTCCGCTCCTTGGAGGAAAAGGTGGAATATAAAAGTAATAGACAAAAAAAGGAGACCACCTCGTCTCTCTCGATGGCGTTCTGAGATAACGCAATGCAGCTCCCGCCTTGCTTGTTCTCCTGGGCCTCCGCTAAGCTGATCTTCCGTATTTGTGCCTGGGCTTCAACAAGGAATGAAGCATTCGGCCGGTTTGGTGGATAGATTTTGCTTCATCACTGATGGAAGCATTTCACCACTGCAGTGTTTGGGGCCAGGGCTGGGCAGGGCTCCCCCAACCCACTCTCTTTCCTCCTAGCCTGTGGTTTGGCTTAATGGCCTGCGCCATCGGAGGCGCCACACCGCACGAGCAGCAACGCCCTGCTCCCGTTCTGGACTTGCAGCTCTGGGGGATAAACCAGGGCGGATTCGCGGGATACCGCCTGGGCTGCTGGACTCAGGGACTTCCTTTGCAACTGAAGTGAAAGGAAGGATGAAGGAACCAAGAGGAAACCGGCACAGGGAAGAACAACACTGGGATGAAGAGTCCTGCGAGCTCGCGAGATCCCTGCTGATCAAGCTAATGGAAGCCAAGCCGACATTCTGCTGGGAACAGTTCATTATTCCAGGGCGGTTTCACATGCAGCCGTCCCCTGCAGCCTTCCGGAATCAGAGTAACTGAAGCTCTGGGCTTTGGGAAGGCGGCATGAGGGCTCTGACAGGGTCCTAGAGCCCTCCATCCTGCTTCCCAAAGCCTAGTTCAGCGTTTCTCAATGTGTGGGTCCCCAGATGTTGTTGGACTACAACTCCCATCATCCCTGAGCTCTGGCCTTGCTAGCTAGGGGTGATGGGAGCTGTAGTTCAACATCATCTGGGGACCCACAGGATGAAAGGATGGCCTAGTTGGTGCTTTTCCAGCTTTGGGAAGGAAGTTGGAGGGCTCTAGGACCCTGCCACAGCCTTGTCTCTCTTTCCCAAAGCCCAGTGCCATGCTTAGCAGAACGAAGGCTGTGGGGCCTCTCCTCCGCATGCGACAAAGCAGTGAGCAGCCCACAGGTTCCATGTTGAAGTACTCTTGTGGCCCACTTGGTGTGAAAAGTTGGCCTGCCCTCCTCTAGATGTGTCCCACTCGCTGTTATCTCCTCCTGGTGACCAGCAGTTCTCCAGGGTCCCAGGCCAGAGCCTTTCCCAGCAGATGCTGCCAGGACTGAACCAACGCTAAATAAGTTGGAGTTCTTGTTATTAAATATATCAAGAAAAAAGCACACCAAGAACTCTGGGTCAATATAAATTTCAATAGTGGGAGTGGTCAATCTGACTATGGACTAACATGAACTTATCTCGACTCATAAACTTTTATCTTTAACACTGTAACGGATTATTGTGTTACACATATCCTTATGAGTTTGAGTTTGTAATCCTTGTCAGAATACATGCTTTTGAATGGATTAGTTTTTGTTATAATTGACTATTGATTTGCAAAGAGGGACCACTCCCACTATTGAAATTTATACTGGCCAGAGTTCTTGGTGTGCTTTTCTGCTTTGCCAGGACTGAACCAGCCTGCTGGTCGCATGCCCTACCATGAGCCACGCCCCTTTCCCAGGACTGCTTCCCCCTAGATCAGAAATTGCCACTTCCTAGGGCAACCCAAGCTCTGAAGCCCTCCTGCCAGCGACAAGGGGCTGCCCCACTCACCGCCTTCCCCGGCCTGGCCCACGTGCAGATGAGGCCCTCCTGGCAGGCGGTGATGATGCAGTCCTCCAGGAAGAGCAGCACCGTCAGCCGCTCGTGGGCAATCTTCTTGCAGACGAGGGGCTCCAGGAGGGGCACTTCGTTGATGCGGGGGCACAGCGCCGTGCCCAGGACCTTGGCCGTGTCCAGCTTGCTCCGGGGCACCACGTTGAGCTTGTCGTTGCTCTTGCTGATGTTACCCAGGCTGTGGTAGCGCTTGTGCTCCTTTTCGGCGTTCTTGTCCTTCCGCTCCTGCAGGGTGAGCGTGGCGAACTTCCCGATGCTGAAGGGCACTGCGCCGTCCGCCACGTGGCTCTTGGCGGCGCTGGTGACGGCTGGGTGCGGCAGGCTGTTGGAGCGGGACAGCGAGCGCGGCAGGGCCCCCCCGCCAGCCTCGGCAGCCAGGTTGCTCCCTCCGCTCCCAGAGGGGGGGATGCCGGCGCTGAAGGTGTTGGTGAGCGTTCTGGCCCGGGAGAGCGGGTGGTGGGGGTACAGAACGTCCTCCGTCAGGTCCCAAAGGCAGAACTGGGTGTCCTGGCCGGCAGACCCAAACCGGTAAGTCACCGTCGGGGTGCTTTTGGTGCTGTGCTTAGAGAGGTGGGACAGTGTGCTGCTGGTCCGCACCCTGCAGAAATTGGCAGAGTCCTGGATGTCCTCGTCGCTGCCGCTGAACTCGCCGCTCTCGTCGTCCTCCGTGCTGGTGGTGAAGGGGTCAAAGGCCACCGCATTGACCCACGACTTGTGGCCGTGGCCCCTGGCGATGACCCGGCCCTCGGCGAAGGACCAGACCGTCACCAGGTCGTCCTCGCCGCCCGTCACGATGTACCGCCCGTCGGGGCTCCAGCAGACACACAGCAGCCCCCCAAAATAGCTCTTCATCATCCCCTGCAGGAGCATGGAGTCGAAGTGGAAGACGCGGAGGCAGCCGTCTTGGCTGACGCAGGCCAGGTAGCGGCCGTCGGGCGAGAAGGCAAACTCGTTCAGCGCTCCTTCGCCCACCGCCCACTTCAGCAGCGGGTTGCGGGCGCTCTTGCTCTTGCAGGCGTAGACCGTGAAGCCCTCACCCTGCTTGAGGAGGGTGTACTGGGGCGAGGCGGAGCCGCAGGGGTGCTCCACGTTGTACAGGTACAGGTGGCCACTGGCATGGGAAGCCAGGAAGAGGCTCTCCGTCTCGGGGATCCACTTCACAAAGGTGACCTTTGTCTTGTCAATCAGCCTCTGTTGGGTGGGAGTGGAGGAAAGGAGAAAGGTGAGGTGGGCCCATGGAGTTCCACCAGCCATTCAGTGTAGCCCTCCCTGCTTGAACTTGCTGGGAACAGGCCCACAAATGTGCACCACACTCTCACTATAAAATATTTAACAGGAACGAGTCTCTTAACTGCCCTTACTGATCTCTAGGCAGAGATCATCAGCGCAGGCCAGGGAGAGTCAACAAGAGGTTACGCAGAGCTACCGTTGCAACCCCCAGCGCTGAACAGCACATTCAGAACTAGCCTTGGGCCAAACTCCTGTGCCAACTTTGGCTTGAAGTACTTCTTTTTCCAAGGCATCGTTTCTGGGGCACAGCTCTATGGCTACGAACTGGCAACATTTCCCAGCTGCCGTTCTGAAAAATCTCTCAGGGCGACTTAAGAATACAATCGACAAGCAGTCACATTAAACCACACTTTGATTGTTTAAGCCAACTAAAACTTGTAGCCCTACACGTTATAAGCAATTAACAGCAGCAATTAAGGGAAGAGCGGCATTTAAACAGAGGCCCTAACCCAAGCCCATTGACCTGGGAGGAATGAAATAAGAGACTCCAATTGATCTGTATCGACTCTGAGCCTCTGCTTCTGCAGTACACTTTGGACTCACCTCCTCGTTGAAGAGCTTACTAGTATCCTTCTTGATGAGATCTAAGTACTGCACTTGCCCAGCCGAAAAGCCAACCAGCAGCGAGATGCTTTCGGAAGCAGCTGTGAACTGGTTGAAGTCGTGGCAAGTGGGCTGCGTCCCCTTATAGATCCGCTTGTCAATGGGCTTCTTCAGGTCGATAGACTGGAAAGCCAACAAGAACAGAATGGGTGGGAAGTTAGACTGCAGGAATCAAGCACTGGAAGGGAATCTGACATGGAAGCAAGAGATGGCAAAGCCACCTGCCAACACTTCCTTCACTTTGCATAAGAAAAACACAGGGAGTGCCTACAGCTGTGTGTGGAGCACAGAAATGGCCTCGGAGCACACAGAGCCCTTTCTGGAGACACATTTCTTGGCCTTTCAGCAACTGCTGTTCTCCACCCATTTCGTATCGGCTACCTGCATCAACTTTGCAAGCAAGGCTATGGAAGTCACTCGCCCCACACCGACCACTTTGTGGTCTAACAGCTGCTGGTGGGAAGGAGCCTTTATTAACCTCTCCTGCCTGGTTACGCTGAAGCGATTCTCAGTTGCCACAGGAGACCACAGCTCCAAGTTAAGCAACAGCATCCTTTTGTCATTTTGCATTAGCTTTCCTGCTTTCCCTGGCCATCGGGACTGGCAAATACCTCTGCAAGCAACCGATTCTCCCTCTTGCGAAGAATCGAATCCACACTCCTCCGGCTTCTGAGATCAGCCCATTTCCTTACCAACCCCTGGCCATTTCTGAGCCCTGTTCTCCTGCCACCGTAGCCTCCTCTTCCACATCACCCCAACGCCTTCCCACCTGCTTCTGCCCATCTCCCGGCAACCTGGCTGCTCCTTCCCTCCCCGCACCCTCGGTTGCCCTTTCAGCATCCTCCTCCTTGCACGCCCTTCCCTCGGCTTGGCTACAAAACACATGCACAGAACACCCCAATACTGGGACAGCTCTGCTGGTAGAGGCTCTCAATCCCAGGGCTGTGGGTTCGAGTCCCGAAAGATCCTTGGTTGGACTAAAAGACCCTCCTGGTTGCTACAACAACTCTCAAACTGTCTCCATCATTTCTGGTCCTACCCCCCCCCCACAACCACACCCTAAACCTCCCTCTTCTGCATACCTGCGCACCCCCACTCCCTCCCGCTCCTCACCTGGGCCAGCCCCACCCCACCCATCGCCCCCTCCCTCTGACCTCCCCCCACCCCCCAAGCTCGGTGGGCGCTCACCCTGCGTCCCCGCCCCGGCGCGCCCCCGGAGCCCGAGTAGAAGTACAGCTCTCGGCCCAGGTTGAAGCAGACGCGGCTGCGCTCGGCGGCCAGGCCCCCCGGGTCCCCCTCCCCGCACGGGTCTCCTCCTCCGCCGCCTCCCCCTGCGCCCCCCGAGGCCGGGCTGAGGCGCACCAGCGAGAGGCGCACGGGGGGCAGCGAGGGGGCGGGCGGCGCGGGGGCTCCGACGGGGACCCCGGAGGGCGGCGGGGGCGGCTGCGGCGGGGCGGCGTTGGCCGAGGCGGGGGCGGCGGCGGGCGGGGCGGGCCTGGCGCGGGGCTCGGGGGCCCCCAGCAGCCGGTAGGAGCCCTCTCGGGTGCGGAACTGGCTCTTGATCTCGTGCGGCGGCTGCGGCGGGGACGGGCCTCCGTCGGGGACCGGCGCCGCCGCCGCGGCTGGGGCCGGGGGAGCCAGCGCCGCCGCCATCTTCCCGCCGGGCCGCGGCCGCCGCCTCCTCCTCCTCCTGCCTGCCTGCCTGCCGGAAGTCGCGACCCGCGGCTCACCTCGCCGCGCCCGGAAGCTGCGCCGCGGCGCCTTGGCAACGCCGGAGGGGGGCGGCCGGAAGGGAGGTTGCCGGGCGACGGGGAAGCCCCGCCTCGCTGGAACGGCGGCGGCCTGGAGCGGGGGCGGGGCTTGGGGAGAGGGCGAGGCCCTTAGCAACCGGGGGAGGATGCGGGCCTTAGCAACGGGGCCTGCGCTTAGCAACGGGGCCTCTGCCTCGGGAGCAGAGAGGATGGAGGGCAGGGGCCCTTCGGAAGTGGGAAACCTCAGGGTGGCAACGCAAGGGCCTTCTCTGCAGTGGCTCCCTGTCTGTGCAATGCTCTCCCCAGGGAGGTTCACCTGGCACCTTCCATTACAGTTTTACCTCGGGTTACATACGCTTCAGGTTACAGACTCTACTAACCCAGAACTAGTGTTTTAGGTTAAGAACTTTGCTTCAGGATAAGAACAGAAATCGGGCTCCGGCGGTGCAGCGGTAGCAGGAGGCCCCATTACCTGAAGTGGTGCTTCAGGTTAAGAACGAACCTCCGGAACAAATTAAGCTCTTAACCCGAGGTACCACTGTATACACTTTTAGGCGCCAGGCAAAAACATTCCTTTTTAACCAGGCGTTTGATCAGATTTATATACAATGCCCTTTAAAATGTGGGTTTTTTAAGGCTGGGGTGGGGTTATTGGGATGCTTCTTTTATTTTGATTATATAATCAAGTTTATGTTTTGTGAACCACCCTGAGACCTCCGGGTATAGAGCAGTATATAAATTCAATTAATTTTTTTTTCTTCCAGTAGCACCTTAGAAACCAACTAAGTTGTTACTGGTATGAGACAAATTCAGTTGGTCTCTAAGGTGCTACTGGAAGGAATTTTTTTATTTTGTTTCGACTACGGCAGACCAACATGGCTACCTACCTGTCAATAAAAAATGTTTGACAGCACTGGGCTTTTCTAAGCCATCTCCTCCTCCTCCTCCTCCTCAGCCTCACCCAAAAAACCAACCATATTAACTACCTCCAAGGCACATGAAGTTCAAGGCAATTTACATATAGCATCAGCTGTATTTACCCAACTAACAGATTATCTCTTTTTTATAATTAAGAACTACGCCACCCCACTTTACGCCAGCAGGATAAAAAAAACCAACTCCAGTACAGACAGAAAAGCAGTTGAGACCCGAGATTCTTTATTTAGAAATCTAATCCACTTTATTCTTATTTTCCTGGTTCCTTTCCCAGTTAACCCCTTTCCCCCCAATCTTCTTTTCCTGAATCATCAGCTGTCTGCTTTTTCCTCTTGCTCCACAACGGGGTCCGGCAGCTCCTCTGCTGGGCTGGGAGAGTTTGCAGCCAGAGCAGCGGAAGGGGCAGGAGGTGGTGCCCCACCGTCTGCGGCCGGCTCCTCTTCGAGGGAGAGGGTGGCTTGCTTGGCTGTGGGTGGCTTGCTTGAGGATCCCTCATCTGAGCTGCCGCTGCTGCTGCTACTACTGCTGCTGCTGCTGCTGCTGCTGCTACTACTGCTGCTACTGCTGGCTGCTCCTTCCTTGCTCTGCAGCTCCTGGGGAAGAGACCAAGAAACCACCATCAGTGTGCAGAAGAGCCAAGCTCTGCCTGGCTCCTCTCAGAACTCGAAAGGCAGAGAAGCTCAACATCACTTGTGTCAAAGGCTGCTGTCTTCGGAAATTAATCCGGCTTTCAAGTGGATGCCTGCCTGAACCAGATACGGTTTCGGCGGCTTGCGCTGCGTCTATAATCCTCTCGGCAGGGAATGACAGAAATCCAAGACACAACCGAGGTGCTTTCATAGGTGGAACTACAGGAGGTTTGATGGCCACTTCCACTGACAAGCAAGCAAAAAAAAAAAATGTTGTGGTACCTTGGGTGGCGAGGGGCCCTCTAAGCTGGAATCCAGCTGGGAGCTGTCTCCTCCAAAGCTCTCGTCTTCCTCCTGCATGCTGATGAAGATGGTGGGAGTCTCCGCTTCAGGCACCTCCTCCTGCAAGTCCACAGATTCCTCGGAAGGGAGTGGGGTCTGGGGGGCTGCCGGGCGGGGAGGCTGCTGCTGCTGCTTCAGTTTCTGCTCCTCCTCCAGCTGGCGCTTGAGGGCCTTCTCCTGCGCCAAGCGCAGGGCAATCATATCCTGGGACACGCGAGGCAGGAGGGGCTGAGGCTCCATTTCTTCCTAGGATTGGCAATGAGCTGCGTTAGGCCCTGCAAAGTGTCCACTCCTTTTTCCAAACCCTTTTCTAGTTGGGGGGGGGGGAATGAGCGCACCACGCTCCTGGCACTGGGTCCAAATTCCCAACACTGTTCTGTGGTGAATCCCTCCCTCCCCACGCTGGGCCTCTATTTCTATGTCTAATACAGGGAAGCAAGGTAGCCTGGCTTCCCTTCTGTGAAAGTGTTCCCAAACATGCAGAAATAAAAGAACACTACGCAAAACTTAGGGATGCGGGTGGCGCTGTGGGTTGAACCACAAAGCCTAGGACTTGCCAATCAGAAGGTCGGCGGTTCGAATCCCCGCCACGGGGTGAGCTCCTGTTGCTGGGTCCCTGCTCCTGCCAACCTAGCAGTTCGAAAGCAGGTAGAGCAAGTAGATAAATAGGTACCGCTCTGGCAGGAAGGTAAACGGCGTTTCCGTGCGCTGCTCTGGTTTGCCAGAAGCGGCTTAGTCATGCTGGCCACATGACCTGGAAGCTGTATGCCGGCTCCCTCGGCCAATAAAGCGAGATGAGTGCTGCAACCCCAGAGTTGGTCATGACTGGACCTAATGGTCAGGGGCCCCTTTACCTTTACGCAAAACTTGTTTGCATCAAGGTATCCAAGTTCGGGCTAAGCTGTGCTGTCTCCAAACATTGCGATCACATATCTGCAGTGCTGCAGGCTTGCAAAAATAAAAACCATTGCACTTCTGCTCCCATTTGCAAACTCTGACTTGCTCCCATTTGCAAACTCTGACTGGACATCACTGAAATGGTTCTCTCTACCCTCCAAGGCCCTTTTGAGTCTCTCCACAGTGCTTTGCTCCTTCTACCATCAACCACTCAAGCTGCGCTCCTATGTATGCTCACACAGGAGCATAAACCCCACTGAACACAGTGGGACCAACTGCCAAGGTTCACTGTGAAGGTCACAGAAACAGAAATCCAATGGCAGATGAATTGTCTTTCACAGTTCCCTTCTCCCCACCCTCCGTTTCTGGCGTTCCCAACACACTGAATGTTCATTATCCATGTTACTGTAACCTGGCAAAACCCGCATTTGTTCAACGCTATGAACGCCTCCTCTTCCCTGCCCACCATGTGCTCTGACCTCTTTCTCTCTTCTCAGCTCCTTGGTCCTGGGCGGGGCTGAGCCCCTCGCCTCCTCCAGAGGCTGCAACTCCTTCCCTTCAATGTCTTGCTTGTTGCTGGCTTCTAGGATGGCCATGGTGGAATTGGGAACATGAGCTTGCTGGTGGAGAAAAAGCAGAAGGGGTTGCCTCATCCAGATGTGTGCCAATCATTGCATTTGAAAGTATTCTCTCAAACAGTATTCTCTCTGATACTTTCACACATACCCTGTCTTGGTTAAAATCCTACTGGGTTGGTTGAACAGAAGTTCATTAGTACGCTTTGCAAGAAAACCTGTTTTAGACTTCATGGTCTTATTTAAAATTACTGTTCTGGACTGGAGATGCGTGCATGTGAGTATTACTGATGTAGTACTGGGTTTTCTTGTGTCTTCTGACCTATCCCAACCTGTAAGGACTGAGTTTCAAGTAGGACTTCTAGGTCTGAAATGCCCCACTCTTTAGACCAGGGCTGGGGAGCCCCTCCCTTTCTGACACCAGCTCCCTTCATCTCCAGCCAGGGTGCCTAATGGTCTGGGGTGATGGGAGTTGTAGTCCAACAACATCTGGAGGGCCACAGGCTCCCCAGCCCTGATTTAGATAGGAAAGGTCTGCATGTGTGGGATCTTTGTCTTCAGCAGTGCCTGTCCAGGGGAGAGCCCAGCACAGACAAGGAGCAGGAACCAAAAGACTGTAATAAATGTCTGTGTATCTTAATATATCATGGCTTTCAGTGGGTTTTTAATCGTGGGCTGCTTTGGGAGCCAATCCTAGCTAAAATGGGATATGAATATAATACACTAAAATTAACCAACAAGTTACCTCTTAGGATTCTTTAAATCAGAGCTTTCCAAACTGTGTGTCATGACACATTAATGTGTTGGCTGCAGTGTGTCACACGAACGCTCCCCTGTACTCCTCCTGGGGCTGGAAAGGGGTTAGTTTAACCTCCAATTTTCTACCAGCAGCACCTTAGAGACCAACTACGTTTGTTATTGGTATGAGCTTTCGTGTGCATGCACACTTCTTCAGATATTGTGTGCATGCACACGAAAGCTCATACCAATAACCAACTTAGTTGGTCTCTAAGGTGCTACTGGAAGGATTTTTTTAAAAAATTATTTTGTTCCGACTACGGCAGACCAACACGGCTACCTACCTGTAACTGCGATTTGCTAGTAAATCTGAATATGTCACAAAATGAGGCGTGTCTAAAATGTGTGTCAGCAACCTGAAAAGTTTGGAAAGCTCCGCTTTAAACAATGCCCTTCAAACTTCGAACCTTGATTTAAAAAGGCACCCTGAATTTTGTTTTGACTCGAATAACCTCTCCCCCAGCTCGCTGCAGGACCATCTGCTCTACAGCTGCAGCTTTGTTTGGGGCAGTACCTGATGCGGGGTGAAGGAGCGGACATGGGCCAGCAGAGGCTCCCGCAGCTCTGGGCACTTCTCGAAGACGGCGGTGAGCTGCTGAGGAGGCAACTGGAGGATGACTTGGAAGGACTGGGGCTTGGTCCGCTGGCAGCACTTGATGAAGCCCTCCCAGACCTTGGGGTACTTCCACACCTGGGGGAGGAAGGGGAAGAGTTAAAATGCGGCAACAGCAGCCAGAGCCTGCTCTGTGTCTCGCCCCAGTGGCCTAAGGTTCATCAGGCTGAAAAGCCTGTTTCCAGCAGTGGCCACCAGCCAGATGCCTCTGCTATGAAAGCACTGGATTTCCCCTATAGGCCAACCAGTATGCAGAAGTATAGAGGCATGTGTCCACAGAGGTTGCATTTCTCTATCGTGACATCATCGTGGGCACCCACAGGCCTATGATGCATGAGTCTGTCCAATTATTTTAAAAAGCCATCTATAGCAGTGTCCTTTGCTACTCAAGTTTTTCTCCCTCTTGTAACACTAGAACTCGTGGACATGCCATGAAGCCGAACGATGGAAGATTCAGGACAGAGAAAAGAAAGCTCCTTGTTTAGGGAAGTTTTTAATGTTTATTTCTGTATTGTGTTTGTATTGTTCGGTTGGTTGGGAGCCACCCAGAGTGGCTGGGAAAACCCAGCCAGGTGGGCGGGGTATAAATAAATTATTATTATTATTATTATTATTATTATTATTATTATTATTATTATTATCATCATCATCACCACTACTACTACTATTCATAAAAAGGTAAAGGGACCCCTGACCATTAGGTCCAGTCGTGACCGACTCTGGGGTTGCGGCGCTCATCTCGCTTTATTGGCCGAGGGAGCCGGCGTACAGCTTCCGGGTCATGTGGCCAGCATGACTAAGCCGCTTCTGGCGAACCAGAGCAGCGCACGGAAACGCCGTTTACCTTCCCGCCGGAGCGGTACCTATTTATCTACTTGCACTTTGACGTGCTTTGGAACTGCTAGGCTGGCAGGAGCAGGGATCAAGCAACAGGAGCTCACCCCGTCGCGGGGATTCGAACCGCCGACCTTCTGATTGGCAAGTCCTAGGCTCTGTGGTTTAACTATTATGTAAATAGATTAGCCAAAATGCTGAGTTGCTGAGGTCTGTTAAGCGAGATGCGCAAACTCTGCAGATCCCCAAGTGTGCCGGTGTCGGTTGGCATCGGTCGCTGTGATGTTTGGGCAGAAGAAAGCTTTTGAAGCTCCCGAACGAGCGACCAGGAGGGAGAGAACATGCCAGTCGGA